ATTATATATATATATATATATATATATATAACCCAGATTTTTTTATTGTACATTGTTTCTTGTAAATTTTGTATAAGTACGTATCTATTTTATTTTCACTGATTTTTTTTTCTTCTCTCGTTGCCCTTTGGCATTCAATGTTACATGAATTGGCAGGTGTCGAAAGGCAGATCCGTAATTTAAATCATTCGCATTAAAACTTACTGTTGGCTTAGACCGAGTTTATGTTACATGGTGGATTTTGCGACATTGGCTATGTTTGGGAAGGAATGAGATTACAATCAGTAGTTGCAGATTTGACGAAATTTGGTGGGTTCTTACGTTTAAGCTATTTCGCATTTAGAATTTTCCGGTAAGCATCAACGTGCTGTGTTAGTGACATTATTTATAATCGAATCAAGCGTATAACGAATGTTTGGATTTTACCAAAATACTTATCTTAAGATTGCTATCGTCAAACATTTAGATAAAGCCATGGTGGGTCAAAGGATTGAGCATCATCCAGTGATGGCTGGCTGATACGAATATTGCTTCCGGCTTGTACCGACCTCAATGTTAGAGCAAAATATTCTTAGTGGTAGAAGATTATGAGTTAGAATCCCTCACAGTTGGGCTAACCATGTGAAGTTTTCGTAATTTTCCTGACAATATAAAGCAAATGCTGATTAATTCCATCAAAAAGTTCTCCAGGAAGTGTAATTTGTTCCATTTCTTGATCCAAGATTTGTCTTTGGATAGGGTTTAAAATTACAAGGTCAAACTGTGGCATTGTAATTTCGAAATATTGATAGTCGTAAACTCAGTGATGGGTCGGCTGTTTAATGCCGGTTACAAAAGAAATTATGACTGACGATAATCAAAAAGTTGACAATTGCAACCACAGTCAAAAAGTCTACAACTTACATGTTAGACACAGTCCTTTGTTTACTTTTTTTTCCCTTTCAAATAAATTTAATTCCATTCCGCTAAACAACTGCATGAGTGACTCAATCTTAAGTCAATGATTAATAATTGCTATGATTAATAATCACTCTTAATGAGAGTTTACATGGTGTTATTCCGACTTTGAAATTCATAGTGATACTAAGGATTTCATCATTGTAAGTTTTTCATTCTACAGATTTCAGCTACATGTTTGTTTCTGAAACCTCTGTAGAACCTCACTAAAAAAATAAATAAGTAAACCAAATATACTTAGTAATATATAATATGATCTATCTTAGTAATATGATCTATCTATCAGAATTAAAGGTAGCCGAAATCTGGAAAATATGGTCTCATTAGTTTTGTCCAAAGAGCCATTGAAAATTTGGGTGCTTTAACATTTATTTCATTTTTTGCTTCACTTTTTGTACGAATATGCAATTTTTTGTGCACAATTATAAAATTCATTTTTATCCAAAACAATTCTATGTAAAAAATGATTTTTACTAATTTTTTAAATTTTTATTTAATCATTTGATGGTAAAAATATCTTGATTATAAAATATAATCATTTTTATTTTATTTTAAACTGTGTAATTTTAGATGACAAAATTCAAATAAAATTGGTTGCATAGTTTTCAAGTAATAAAAATTAGAAAAATGCGACTTTTTTGATTTCTAAGCAATTTGGTCGATTTCTTCCAACTTTTGCATTTTGACATTTTATATTATGTTGTTCAATAATTTATAAAAATTTGCAAACTTTAAAATTCAAGATTTTTTTAACCGATATTGAATAAATTAATAAACAGTTATAAATAAATATTAGAAAAATTTTTTAACATATAATTATTATTAAACGAAGGAATTTTATCATTTTGCGTAAAAGTTTTGAATTCACTTAAAAAGTTTCTGATACGTGGAGAAATACATCAAAAGTGAAAATAATATTTAGGAACCTTAACTTTGAACCTAAAATATTGGAACCACGGGGACAACCATATTTTGATAGTCAAAATTACAAACTCGTCAAAAAAATCGTAGTTTCGTATCTAATTTTGTAATTCAATTAATAGTTAAAAATAATTATTTAGCATATCTAATGCCAACCTTTTAAACTATTAAGGTTGATTATTAGTAAATAAAGGTCTGGCAGCAAAGGCTATTTAGTGTGATGCTATATTTTCTTCTCTCAATACATAGTTCTCCGAAGTTAGCTATTATACTATAGTATAGTTGCTCATGTAGATAAGAAGACCTGCAGATTCTTAAATAATACTTAAAGGTACTTATATGTAGCCCTGACTTATATGTGCTAATAGCTCGTATCTTTTTCCCCCATCCCCTTAGAGCATCAGCTAATATTGAACACCGAATCAACGAGTTCCGCATTACTGTTTACCACCACTTGGGTGTTGATTGTTTTTTTAACTATCTCCACCTATGTACTAGATTGGTGGTTAAATGAACGTCATGGTCGTTCACGATACGCGGAGTTGAGTTGCGCTTAAATGCTTGCTGCTTAATGAAGCTCTTTTCTTTAGTTCATGTCCAATTTATTCATCATTAAAGGTAAATTAGTTCATTTGACCCATCTATTTGAATAACTCTGTATTAATAAGAAATTTTATGGAGGAAAGTAAATAAACGATTTCAATATTCTGCCGTTTTACACTATTAATCGTAGTTTTCTTTCTTTTATTTTAAATAATTTGTTTCCAATGATGAAAATGGCGCAGGGAATAATTTATTGCAATTTTTAGGGTAATTTTTATACAAATATTTTATTTTAAATAGGCCGAAAACAATAAAAAAAATGATTTTAAAATGCTTGTTACAGCTGTATAAAACTTTGAATGCAGAACATTTCGACAAAATTTATTTTGAAAATTTCTCAACTATTAAACGAAATATTTTTGTTTCAGCTATTTATTTCTGAAATAAATTGAAAATCTCTGTCAAAACTTATTTCCAAAAACTGAATCAAATTTCAGCTTTCAAGAACTTTTACAGCTCCGAGTTCATCGTTCCCTCTTCGTGAAAAATATCTTATCTTCTAACGCGTAGCAAGCATGGAAAGGTTTCGAACTTCTAGTCCTTTAACTTCTACTCCAAGAAGGGGAATACCTCGATCAACTAGAAGGTCACCCCATCGTTTATCACCTGCCTCCTCTAGAAGCTCTCCAGCCATTCCAAGCACTTCGCATCAAATACCAACACAATCTCCCATTGACAGATCTCGGTCCCCAGAGGCATTAAGAAAATCCCCTTTTCTCTCACCACAAGATCATATTCGCAGAACTGTTTCTCCAGAAACATCACCAAAATATCTTAGAATTCCATCTCCAGGAACACCATTACAATATTCCTTAGCTTCATCTCTAGGTGGATCAACACAATCACCTGGAAGTCCAATAGAATATCCTGGAAGTCCAATAGAATCTCCGGGAGGTCCAATAGAATCTCCGGGAAGTCCAATAGAGTCTCCTGTCGCTAGAACTCCAAGTCCGAGACCAAGAGCACGACGACGCTTATATAAAACTCCATCCCCTGTAAGACCTGAGCTCATAACTCCAAGTCCGAAAACTCCTCCTTGGGAGACGGCTTTTAGACGCGCGCTGTATCCTACACCACCGCAACCTCCTACTCCTCCGAGTCCTGATACTCCAAGTCCCGCTCGTCCGACTGCAAGTCCTATTCATCCCATTCGTGGGCTTCCATTCACTTCAAGACAAACAATCTCTCCAGAACGTGAATCACTTTTTGAATTCGGATCAGATTTTGTACGCCTCAAACGCCTTCCACGGATTCCTTTGGAGCAAAGACAGGGAACGCCTCCTGATCAGAAATATCATTATGCTAGTCCTGGAGTCACTCCACAGATAATTGTTTCAGAAGATTCGTCAATAGAAGATGAGAATATTCCTCCGGAATTCCGTGGTCTGGTTCCTGCTTATGAAACGGAAAAATTATTCTGCCCCAGGGAATTAGAAGGCAAACCTGAACATGAAGTATGTTTCTTTTTATTATTTTTTTTCTTCTTATAATTAAAATTTTTGGGGATAAGTAGATTCACTTACCGATAGACCCATTTATATTTGCCACCGATTGCTTGCCCCACGGTTGATTGGCAATCAACAACAGCAGAAACATAAATTATAAGAAATTAACAGTAAAAATAAGGAATTAAACATTAAAGCAAATTACAAAAGCAAAGAATTGAAGCTGTGATAAACAAAAATGTATACGCTTACAAATACTTTAAATTGTGGTTTCAATGAAAGCTTTTCAGCTGAGCTTATTCCAGTTTTCTGCTTACCGTATTCGTGATAAATAACGAAGATCGTGATCAATCATATTTGTTACATAACTTCTGCCATCTACATTGCCTCAGTCGTTTCATGTTAAGTCAGTAGAGCACTCCGAATTGCCAATACTCACCTGCAAACAAAGCGATGGTATTGAAGCTCAGTATTTGATGATAAGTTTTTGCAACTTATTAGAAATTCAAAAAATGTGGGTTACCTTTTGGACGATTTTGTTTGACTGTAGGTACCAAATAAAGGTCACAATTTGAATTTATAAATATTTATCATATTTTTTTAAAAGAGGTAAATTTTTCATGCTGTCCATTGTGAACCATGGAGTTAAAGATTTAATAATTTTATTACCAAAGACAAGTAATTACCAAAGGCAACCAATTACCAAAGGGGGAAGTTAGGTAAACCCCCCCCCCCATTTGTTGAAGAAAGATCATGCTTCAAGTTTAGATCATGGCTTCAATTTTTTTTTATAATTTTCTTGTTGTTAGCTTATCATATAACAATATGTGGTGTAACTACCACCATAAATATTAAATACCAATTCACTAGTATATAAGACATGTTAACTTGATTCTATCTTGAGCTACCTTTTGATAGATGAAGGTTGACATAGTCTATAATTAAAATCCCCACTTTTGTGGATCATAAATCAATATTGGCAAGCTCTTAATCACGTCTGGGTCACCAATGTGGGGATTTTTATGTTTCTATACGACGTTTCATAACCCATAATAGTTCGGAAGGCTTCCTATTACCCAATTCTTCACCAGACAAAAGTTGGCAAATTTCTTGTTGCGATGATTCGCTTGATCTAACAATTAATTCTGTTTATAAATTATTGTAAGGATCTGCAGCATCAGGATTCATTAAAATATATCGTACAATCGATGCAATCTCTGGCGGTAATTGAGAAACAATGTAATTATCTTTGGTTATAGATTCTGTTACAGGTTTGGGAGATGCCAATCTGAACGTGCTTTCACACATAATGAACCAAAGAGCAGGATAAGATCTGTTATATACTGGTATTTGTACTGCACTTACCTCAGACATGGCAAAAGAAGTCTGAATGGCGTCGAAAGATTTTTTTCAAACAGAAATCAGAGTTAAACTAAACAAAATTCTTGATGGATATAATTAATATAAATTCAAATCGTCCGCATAGTCACCATTGAGGTGTTGTTTTATCACTTTATTCAGAAGGTTGACATAGTCTATAATTAAAATCCCCACATTGGTGACCCGGACGTGATAAGAACGTGCCAATGTTTGATGGATGATCCACATTAAACAGTTGATTTGCTTAAAAAAAATAAACTGCTCAAAGAAAAGAAGAAAAAAATCCGGTGAAGTAAATAATGTAATAATCGAAAAAATGAAGGAAAAAAATAAGCAAAATGCTATAGAAAAAGAAGAAGAATTAGCGAATTGCTGTGAAAAAAAATAATGAGCGAAATGCTATGAAAAAAATGATGAGCAGAAAATGATATAAATGAATAAAAAGAAACACCATTAATCAACTAGTGGTATTTATTTGTTCATCGAATTCTATCCCAAATAAAATTCTGGAAGGGGTGTAATGTGGTGTAATTATCACTATAAATATTAAATACCAGTTCACTAGTATATAAGACATGTTAACTTGATTCCATCTTAAGGTACTTTTTGATAGATGAAGGTTGTCATAGTCTATATGTAAAATGCCCACAAATATACAACATATCGTCGAATATCGTATAACAACGTTATATAAAATTCATATCCTGATACTCATATTTTGTCATCGTAATGCAAAATTAAGTGCTTTATTAAAGCAAAATAATTTATATAATTTTTTTCTTGATTTTCTAATAATTTACTTGTGATATACCAATGATATATAAAATTCATTTCCTAATATTCATGTCTTGTTATTGTAAAACGAAAGTTAAGTATTATATTAAAGCAAAATAATTTATAAAAATTTTGAATTAGAATAAACCTTTTAATTTTTTTAATAATGCTATTTATCAAAAATTACAATCATTTACACAACTTTTAAGCGCTTTAAATTAACTCTGTTAATTCAATTAGGTTTCAAATTAGGTTTTCAACGTTAAATCAAAAACGGAATTACTTTAATTAAATCAAAAATGTTTACCTAAGCGTAAAGAATTGTTTTGCATTTGACTAAACTCCTGGCAAAAGAAGACAAATTTTAATAACATTACTGCTTTAGTAACAAATATTATATGCTGAATTAGAGCTGTAAATAATTTTTCATTATCAAACCAAAACAAACTTAAATGTGTTCTTAATACTAATTTAATCTACAGTTCTTAACAATCCTCTAGAAATGTTAACATCTTCAAATGCCCACAATATTCCTAGATTCCCCCTAAAAGACTTGACTGTCCTCTTGGGAGGTGATAGAGCCCGCGTTAAGAACTTATGATTTAACCATTTACCAAGGCTACATCAGCCTGTTAACATTATTTTCTAATGGTTTCTCCAGATAACGCTTTAAGTCACACAATTTGGCAAATTTTTAGAATTTGAAATAATTCATGTTTAATACATTTAATTAGAATATAACTTTACTCAAGAATTGTCATACGTAAGTCAATATTCCCTCCTTACGTTTATTTTGATTCACATTAAGGTGTACTTTTCCTACATTTTATTCATTCGTGTATAATTTCATGTGTACATTTATGCGAGAAAATCAATATTACAATCACTATTCATAGGATAAATTTCTATTATAAAAAGAATAAAACGGAGAAATAGGATTCAATCATTCTCGGTACTGAAAAGTACTCAAACTGAAACAGGCAACAAATATATTGTGATAAAGTTTTACACTAAACAAATTAAAAGTTTTACTTAGAATATATTCTAACAATGACTTAAATTTGGCGACAATCTGCAGATTAATAATGAAAATCATTGTTCTTTTATCGTCTGTTGCAAAATATTTCTGAACGAAGAAAAGTTTGAAATATTTTAAAAAGTGTGTGTTTATTACTCATTGGGGAAATGGGTACGCTTTTTATATTCGCACAGCTCGTATTTTTTTAATAGATCAATTTCAACACCATTATCACAAATGAAGAGTTGTAAGATTCATAAAAAATCAGGCTCTCATAAGCAATTACAAAAACTCAGCATAACAAGATCAAGTAAAAGAAGCAGACGATAATTTTGGAACTTTTTGAAGTTGATTGTTTTCCAGAATGAGTTTTTTTCTTTTTCTTTTCAAAAGTGTGTATTTTTAATTTCTTTAACATAATATTAATTTAAGGAATTTCAATGCAGTTTTTATTATTAATTTATTGGTAGTTATTGTCTTGAACGACGATTTTAGCATAAATATAAATAATGGAGAAGAAAAACAATTTTGTTATATCTAAAGAAACGCATATTGGACTAAAATTGAAAATCAATCTAGCCTAGTGGACCACAAAACAAACATTAATCGATGCAGTTTTTGCAACCCATGACTTGTGACGTTTATAAAAATCTATATAAAAAAAAGATTTCTCTTTTTTTTAAAAAAATAAAGAAAAAGTTTATAAAGTCAAAAGAAAAAAACCTTTAACTAATGGGTAACCAATGATCGCTATAATGCGATCCTAATTTCCTCTCTTTTGCAATATTCTTTTTATTTATTTACTATTTATTTATTCTTTTATAGGAACTTCTTTCATTGATGAAGAAGTTTTATGAAGGCGATTACGAAAATATCAAGGAAGCGATCAGAGAACTTGCGAAAAAGTATATACCACAAATGAGAGGAGAAAAAAACACTATAATGATTCTTAAAGCTTTGGAAAATTACATTGAAGGTCTTCTTGTAACTATTCATACGGTAATTCTATTTTATTCCTACAAGGAAGCTAAAACCTCTTTTCACTGCCGTTATTCACCACCAATTATTACTTCTCAATGATAAGTGTTTTATAGTATTAAACAGTGTTTTCTACGAAAGTTGATAGTTGGATTTAAAATTACTAAATCGAGATGGTGATCTTCTTTATCCACTTTATTTCTTATGTTATTAAGCTCTCAGAAAACTGCTTAACACAATTTAGCATAAACGTAGTTAATTTAGCACTTTTGTTAGATTTTGCTAGAACTCATATATTTATAGAAAACTCTATAAACAAGTATTTTAATGCTTCGATTGCTATTTATTTCAATGACGGAGAATGGAACTTTTGGGCAATAACAACATTCCATCGTGAATATTCTTTGTTCTTGCCGAAACAACATACCACCGTCCTGGATATGAAAAGTTTCGCAAATATTGTCACTGTGCTCGAGATCACGGGTACTAATTTAAATATATTTCAAACATATTACACGTGATTCTGGTCTGTAATGAAATCTTAAATTTACCGAGGAAAAAATCGAAATCCATTAGGTTTTCGTTGAATTATGGGCCGTTAAACTATGATGAGTGTAACTTCAAACTCCTCCTGTGCTGCTTATAAAGCAATGAAATAATGACCCTTTCCTTTCTTTTCACGAAATTCGTACCCCCAGTCAGTAATGACAAGAGTGTTTTATACAGGATATGATATTCTCATTAAGTAACAACTCTGCCAAATTCTAATTTTCTTTTCTCTTTCTAATCAAGAGTTTAAGTCATCATTGCATTTCAAGTTTGTGGTTTCGGTAAAAATTGTTGGAGAAAGTGTGGTAAAACCTGTTCGTAAAGATTCGTAGAACTATTGGAGCAAAGCTAATCAACCACGAAACTGTCAATAAATCAAGATGTTCATTGTTTAGTTGGTGCCCAATATATCATCCCTTAAAAGTCAAAGTTGCACTACCATCTTATAAATTATTTGTTTCTTGTAATTTCAGAAAATTTAGAAGTTCAATGAAAAAGTATCACACATTTTTATTTTATATGACAATATAAAAACTTTGTGTACAAAATTCACATTTGAAATAGTCATCTTCATTCTCCTCTTCACTACAGCTTTCGTGGGCTCAGAAAAGACACTTTTTCACGTTGTGAATGAAAAACACCCTTCTTTCTTTGTTTCGTTCTTTTTCTCTTATTTATAAAGTACAAAAGTACATTATTACAATGTAAACAATCAACATCTGATACAGTTTTATGGTCTTTGTCGGAAAAATCATCAATTAAATATATAGTTTTTATTATTAATATTATTATTATTACAAAACTGTTTTGTTATATTGATTCTTCATACGCTTTTTTTTTCCAAGTTTTTTTTTTATATACACTGAAAATTAACATTCTCATTCTTGATAGCTAGGTTTTCCTAATCTTATTATCTTTTTTTTCATTCTCCTGATATTCTACATTGGTTTTATATAGTGAGGGTAGTACCCGTTCATACCCACACTTATCGCACTTGCCCCGAGAGTAGAGGTTATCCAAACGAAACAGGGCCATGCTACTACTGGACTTAATCCTCATTATTTGTTAGTATATGAATCCTTAGTAAACGCATAATAAGTAGGGCTAAAAATATTTTTACAACCGTGATTGCCAATAAATAAGGATAGTTTAAACAACATTAGAGGATTGACACAGCAAAACAAACTTATCGAGATAAACTCCATGAATTCAGCAATAACAGCACGTTAATATGGCAGCTTCTTCTTACAGCCAAGCAGAATGTAATTCAGAATCAGACTGTTACAAAGCAAAACTAATTTTGCCGCATCTAGGTACCTTGTTTCACCCGTACTACCTGATTTTTACCTACTGACCTATAAGATAATTAATTAAATCTTCAAAATAGCTTTAAAATCATTAAAAAACTGTCTAATAATGTAAGGGAAGGGAGAGTTGGAAAAAACCGGGTGGCTGGATAAAAGCAGAATCTGGCACTTTTGACTAGATTACTGCTATCGAAATCACAAAATGCTCCAAGTCAAAATCTCGGGAAGGTTAGATACATTCACCTGTAAAGGTCGGGTACATGAAACCTCTAACACTTAGGATGTATAATATTATCCATTTTATTAAGGATTTCTGCTCTTACATCTAATCAACTAGGCCATATTTTTTGTAATTAGAATAGGCTTCTCAAGATTACGTGCCTTTCCCACTCTTCACCCTTTTGTTATTTTGCATTGTTATGGAAAATCTTACGTTTTTTTCTGTTTAAGTTGAAAATGGGAGTGTCCTGATCCAAGGGAAAAAGCATAATTTGTAGCTCCATGGTAACAAAGAGGGGAAAAGTGTGCATAGTGGGGAAATCGCAAAACTTTGAAACACCACTTCTATTTACAAAGAATATATATAATTCATGATGAGCTCCTAATATGATCCTTGTGTTCAGTTATTTATAATCCTTGTACGTTTCACATTAGAGGGTCATATTTATAATTTATTACCATAAAAATAATTTCTGTAATAAAATATGTACTTTTTTCATTATTTCTATATTAACTTAGTTCCATCCTATCAGATTTGATAAAGCAGGGTTATACAACGTATTTCTAAAATTTAATTAATTTACCTCCAAAAATTTGCCTTTTTTTGCATTAAATACTTATTTTTGAAACTTTTTTTTTCCAATGCCCACCTGGATAATGACCTAGGTCATACAGGCACCTGAAAGGCAGATTTATTGGCCACTCTTTCTGGGCACCATATTAGGTGGTCCAACGTTGCTCCCACAGTAAGGACAGATAGTACAGAGAGGGAAAGAACATCCATGCCTTGCCCGTGATTCGAATCCAGAACCTTTCTGATGCAAGAGCAGTTCCCTAACCCCTACACAGACCGGTTGGCATTTTTGAAACTTAAGATCACATTTATCATTCAAATAAAAATGAAGGCAATTTTAATGACGAATCTGCTTTGGAAAGAAAATAAAATTAGAGCCCGGTTTTGTCTAACTTTCTCTTGCAAAACTTTGATTATTTTATCTGTTTTCATATTGATAGTCTTATTGCTTGCATTCGGAACTTGTAAAATAATTATTATTATTAGACCTACATCACTAAATAAACGTTTGCTTAAAAATGACAGCATGATCAATCAGGAAGATCTGAACTGTTGAAAATGGCTCAAGAGCGTATGAATGAATTGAGGTCTGAGTTTATGGAGGAGAAGGACAAGTAAGTAGATAAATTTGTTTAACTATTTAAGTTTGAAAACAATAATTTTTTTTAAAATTCTATCGTAGGTAATATACTGCAATACTTGAATTTTTAAATGTTTTATTGAGAAGTACTTAAACGTTTTTTTCTGGTTCAAAATATTAACCAATTTACACATCACTATCCTTACCTTATTTTCTGTACCAGACAATTAACAAATTTAACGTAAAGAGAATCACCTTAGAACTAAATCGAATAAAGTATAAAAGTGTTCATTTCATCTATTGTTACTTAAGAAAAACAAAATGGAAATAGTTTTTAGCTAAAAGCAGTGTTTTGAAAAATTATTTTAAACAAGCCTAATTTAAATAACGGTTAAGTCTTATAAATAAGTTAAGTCTAATAATTTATAATTAAAAACTAAACTTACTTCAACGATGCAAAAACTATTTTTTTTCTCAAAAAAACAAGCTTCCACATAAGAAGCTTGCTTTAATATCTATTTAGAAGAAAAAAAATATTTTATTAATAAATCAAGTGTGAATTTCATTTTATATTAGAAGGCTCCATTCCCTGCTCGCTTCACTCGCCAACCCTCGTAAATGCTTTTGAAGCATCATTGTCGTTTCCCCTCAAAAGTCAATATTTTACTCTACTTTTTTTGTAAAATATATAACTGAAGATCAAATGGAAAGAATGGGTTTTGTCTATTTTTCACAGAAATGGCGATTTCTATCTGTTGCATTTTGAAAATTATTAAGTTTTCAGAAATCAGTAATGCGGAAAATCTTTTCTCTTCGAAAGTTATTACACAGTGAGCCATGCTCTTTATTATTTTTTTGGGGTGTTGTTGTTCTTGACATCAACACAAGTGCAAGTTTATGAATCTCAATTTCATTATGGTGAGAAAAATAAAATTTTCCACACAATGGAAAAAAAGCTATTAATTCGAACAAAAACTAAGATTTATAAAAAAAAAATGAACTAGCCCTGAAAATAATTTTCATACTTATCTGACGCGTTAGTTGTAAAATAGATGATATTATTCTTCTTGGAAGGCGTAAAAAACTTATTAATTACAATCGGGCAAATATTTTATTTTTTATTTTGAAACCATCAATACGCAGCTATTAATAATTTAATAATTATAATTATAACCGTCGTTGAACAGCCGACCCAACTTCAGTTTGCGACTACTAATGTTCAACTCCATTGCATTGTAATTTTGAACCCAATCCAGAAGACAAGGGAATCAAGTTTTGGGAGAAATTTTGCCGTCGTGGAGGACATATTGTTGGAAGTAACCCACATTTGCGGTACCAAAAACCACGAAAACCTCCCATGGTTAGTCTAGCTGCAAGGGGACTCTAATCCATGATCCGTCCATTATTGAGGATATTTTTACGTCAGCACCGTGGTCAATGCGAGCTGGGTGCTGAACTCGCATCGACCAGTCATGGCTTGGATTCGAACCCAGGTTTTCACATTCGAAGGCGAATGCTCTATCCACTGTACCACCATGGCTCAGCTATTAATAATAAGTTGAAAACAAAGGAGAGAAATGCCTATAACCGAAATAGACAATAGAATATATTAAATGCAGGCAACACAGAATTTTTTAACCAGCCTCATATCATATTTGCATCATTATCAATTTTAGTGACGCCTATGCTAACAATGTAGAGTAAATAGGTGAAGAAAAAAAAATTAAACCTTTTTTTAAAATCATTTTTTAGCCTATGTATATGTTTTTCGAAATTTTGACATGATATTAATATTAAAGTTCTCCTTTGAACCAAAAATTATAAAAAACATTTAGAGTGTCCGGGAAAAAGCCCCACAAAAGCAGCTATTAATAATAACTTGAAAACAAAGAAAAGCAAAACGTATAACCGAAATCGGGCATAGTATCCATTGAATCTATGCTACACAGACTTTTTTTGCTAGCTTCATATCACATCCTCATCGATTTCAGCGACATTTGTGCATGACATACATTCCCTTCACATAAAAGTTCTTAAGATGCAGCTAAATATGCAAAAATTGAAATTAAAATTACCGACTTATTGCTGTTCGACCTGAATTTGGGACCATATTGTCCAGATCGCAACTCTTTTGTAAATCCTGTCGAAAGACAAGAACATTTCTCGCACCACATCACTTTCAAGACAATGTCATTTTGTTCAAATATAAGTGAATGCTGTTTCAATTTTGATAAATGTTTGTTTCAAATTCTACAGTTTTTGGTTCCAATGCCATTTTAACACATTTCGTTCACTTTCGAAAAACCCTTTTTTACAGTTTGTGCCTGAATCAAAATGTAACACATAAATTATGTCCGATAAAAATATAAATCACAAATTACGTCTAAATAAATTGTTTTTGAAGAACGAAAAACACACTATTAAGGCAAGGCATTTTGTTCAAATATAAGTGAATGCTATTTCAATTTTGATAAATGTTTGTTTCAAATTCGACAGTTTTTGGTTCCATTGCCATTTTAACACATTTCGTTCACTTTCGAAAAACCCTTTCTTACAGTTTGTGCCTGAATCAAAATGTAACACATAAATTATGCCCGATAAAAATATAAATCACAAATTACGCCTAAATAAATTGTTTTCGACGAACGAAAAACACACTTTTAAGACAATGCATTCTGTTCAAATATAAGTGAAAGCTATTTCAATTTTGATAAATGTTTGTTTCAAATTCGACAGTTTTTGTTTCCTTTGCCATTTTAACACATTTCGTTCACTTTCGAAAAACTCTTTCTTACAGTTTGTGCCTGAATCAAAATATAACACATAAATTATGCCCGATAAAAATATAAATCACAAATTACGCCTAAATAAATTGTTTTCGACGAACGAGAAACACACTTTTAAGACAATGCATTTTGTTCAAATATAAGTGAATGTTATTTCAATTTTGCTAAATGTTTGTTTCAAATTCGACAGTATTTGGTTCCATTGCCATTTTAACACATTTCGTTCACTTTCGAAAAACCCTTTCTTACAGTTTGTGCCTGAATCAAAATGTAACACATAAATTATGCCCGATGAAAATATAAATCACTAATTACGCCTAAATAAATTGTTTTTGAAGAACGAAAAACCCTTTTATGTAATTTATGATCAAAATTTGTCAATAAAATGTATTGCTTATTATTAACAAATTATATATGGAGTAAAATTATAAAATTTATTTAATTTTTCATTCACTTTTAATTTCTCTTTTTTCTTTTTAATTAGTGTACGATTCATAAATCATTTCTGTTCACTATTTTGATATTGCGAAGTAACAATTAAATTATAATCCCCCGAAATAATTTATGCAACTATAACGTAAAAATATGTTGAAATAACTATTTTCAATAATAGTTATTAAACAATAACTATTTTTAATGAAAAATTAACTGTTTTTAATAATAACTATTTACAATGTAATAAAAATTTTTATAATAGCTTTTAAATAATAAATATTTTCGATAAAATGATAATATTAAAATAATAAAACTGATTTTAAAATAATAAAACTGGTAAAGATTATGACTCTTACAGTTTGCGTTGGTTCGCCCCCACCCCCAGTCAAAGAACGCCACTGTACTGGATTGATCCCAACTATCAAATTTTAAAAATATCGTAGAAATCATTTCAGAATAACTATGCATATACGTCATTTGAAATTATATAGTTTAAAATGACGAAAAGAAAAAAAATCCAAACGTTTTATTTAAAAAATATTACGATCACATAGCATAATAATATTAAGTAATAGAATTCTTGAAAATAATTTTTACTTAAAATTATCTTTAAATAACGAGTTTTATAACTGAGCACAGTCTTTTTTCATTTGCTTCATTAAATACGAAAATATGGCGAAATATGCAACAAAAAAATGTAAATTAACTTTAAAGAGCATTTTTCAACCACTCTTTTGTCTAAACTATTGGAATCATAATTTCCAAATTACGCTTACTCTTCCCTATATTGTTCTTCAAAAATCGAAACACGTTGAAATGGAGGTGCGTTTATTCTGAGAAAGCACATTTTTTGTCTGATTCAAAGTTAAAACTAATAAATTAGCACATTTAAAGTCAACTTTCTTAACTTCTAAAATTGCTTTTCACTGAGTGAAAATACAATCATTAGATCAAAAGTTAATAGGGACGATATCTCCAACTTATTTTCTCCCTGTAAATTTGGATGACAAATCACGTAATTTACTTTTTTCCAGTCACGAAAATTCTAAACTGTTGAGAAAGCACTCTTTAAATAAATTTTCAAACTAAGTACATAATAAAAATGTTATCCCATTTTTGTAGAACTTCAGCAGTTTACATTGCATCATTTTATCTTTACAGCTTTAACAGATATATCGAAATGTTGGAAAGTAAACTGATGGAGGAAGCTAGAGACAACAGAAGACTGGTCGGGAAAGAAATCGAATTAGAATCGCAATTGAGAAGTTTACAGTAAGTAAAGAAAAAAACATTCTTATTAATATGCATCAATCCTTTCAAATAATAAGACTATTATTATAAGCATTTTATATAAGTTTAAAAATTATAAAATGGGATTTCTATACCTTATTACAACCTATTAACTCCATAAGTTTTCTATAAAATGTCGCTTTCTTACGTGTGATAGAATAAACTAGTGGGCTGCGCCCGCTGCTCGCTAACGCTCGCCAACCCCCGAAAATTGTTACGCAATCTTATATGGTTTGCTTCGCAAACCAATCTCGCTTCGCTCGCTACTAACTTAGGTACATTGCAAATGCACAAAATTCTACGAATTCAAAACAATCATTCAAATCCATATAACAACTTTTTTTTAAAAAAAATTACATCTTTTTAGTAAATACTAAGTCATTAAAATAAATTTGAATTCAAATAAATGACATGTAATTCGTTAAACCTATTAGAAATGTGCTATAGTATAAAATCTTAAGATAAAATTTCTAAAACTGATATCTCTTTAAAAAGGTTAAAATTTTGGCTATAATTAAGTCTATTAAAAATTGAAATAAGTGAATTGCAATGGAAAAACCTGCATAAACAAATAAATTCTAGTAAAACAAATAAATTCGTGATATAAATCAAAAATCGTCAAATAAATTCGTAATATATAAATTCGTGAAAAAAAGCGCTTTCGACAAAATACTAAAATAGAGATCTATCGACAAAGACTACTCACTTCTGCCTAGCTTAATAGTATGAGATTGCCGCAGCTGATGCTCTCTGGTTATTTCAGTTTCCGTTTTTAAAAGCGCTATATGTTGAGCCACCTCAGCTAGATTTGGCATGTGACATTTTTAGCGGCAATCATTGGTCGATTTTCTAGCGTTGCCATTCGGGGAGTTGTAATGAGGCTCTTTTTTGTCGCCGTGTAAGAGAAATATATATATAGATTCTTATTTGATTGAACTGGGCATTGTTTTAAATAATTTTTACAGATATTATGTTTGAACATATTCTGAAAGAGATTTTGAATTGAGTTTATTATAGTTCATGAAATAAATTATAATAAACTTAACACAATGAACAATCTTTCCTTTGGAAGCATCTGAAAACGGCTTCCCTAGCGTTTTTCCGAATTACTTTAAAGATTGTATATGATTTAAAACAGCGATGCATTTTAACTCGAACTTAGTATTAAAATGACGACTTTTTGCGAATATGTTGTTTTCATAACTGATGTGAGTTTACAACAGTTACTCACTGCCTTGGGTAAAGTTTAGCCTACATGTCTATGTTCATTCTAAAAATGGCGCAAAACGTCAATATGGAAACTGCCACAGTTTTGAGAAAATAAAAAGTGTTCGTGGTCTAGTTTTTTAGTATTCAGAAACTTACTCCACTTACAGCATTATCTCGACTCATAAAAATTTGCAAAAAATGAGGATAAGGTGATGATTTTCATAATTTTCATCTAGGTTGTAATATGTCTCGTGTTGGTGACTAATTATTAAGTGCTTTATATTACTAATTAACAAGTGCTATTCAAAAATGGTAATTAATAAGGGCAGACGATATTTTAAACGGAAACGTTGACACAAAAACGTACTTTCTCTGAATAAACATACCTTTTTTTTTCGATGAATTTGGATTCCTGACCCCCTAAAGTATCGGGTAGCCGTAATCTGGGAAATTTAATGTAAATTTTGTTATGTGTTATTGTGAATTTCACTTTTTGAGTATATCGCTATATCTCGAGAACAATCTCAGAGAATTGAAAAATTTTTGCACACAATTATCCAAAGATAATTCCATACAAAAAATAACATTTAGTAAATATTTATTATTTTTTATTATCTTATAATGGGCGAATTTTTTTTAATTGCTAGGTATACAATTTTTTGAAGAATATAATTTTGTATGGCGAAATACAAAATTTGAAAATGAAAAATTTGTTCCTGAAAAATTGAACTTCATTGAATTGAACTTGAAAAGTCAGATGGAACTATTCGATCAACTTGCTCAAATTTTCGATTTCCCTTGTAAAACTATATTCTTTCAAATGATACAAAAATTTGTATACCTTATAATTCAGCAATTTTTCGACCATTATTAAATAAAATAATAAAAATTTACTAAAGTTTTTTTTGCACGAAATTATCTTTGACTAAGCGAAATTTCATAATTGTGTGCATAAATTTTTAAATTCTCTTCAAAAATTCTCGAGATATAGCAAAAGATACCAGAAAAGTAAAATAAACATTAAAGGGTCGAAACTTTGAAGAGCTTTCCTGACCAAACTATTGGGATCATATTTTCATATTTCCCAGATTGCGGTTAACCCCTATATTTTGAACCCCTATATATTCAGAAATCCGTCTCTGTCAAAAAAAAAAAAAAGGTATGTTTATTCAGAGAAAGTACGTTTCTGTGTCTGATTTCGTTACTTGAAATCAAAGGTTGTTCAGGGTGTTCCTTTTTTTGAGCGCTGTACACAAATGTAAAACTAGCATTTAAAAGACCTAATTTTCAAGGTCTTCCCGGGCTCAACTATTGAGTCCATATTTTTCAGTTAAAGGTTGGGTTTTGAAGATTAAAAAAACCTAATCCATTTCAGTGCAAAAAATGTCAGATCAAATTATGGGGGAGGGGAGTACTGGACTCTGAGTGCAGCATCTGTAAAAGCCATTTTTACTGTCAAATCTTATAACGTGATTTTTTTACGACAGTATTTATTGAAGTACAGTGATGCAGTGATTTTACGTTAAATATTTCGTTAAAATTACGGTACATCAGAATTTTTGTTCCATGAGACTCTGCGTTTAAGATGAATTTCACAGTAAAAATTGCTGACACCCAGCGTACTGGTACTTTTTCCGTAACTCGATCCGGAATTTTTTGCACTGTGAAAATAAAAGCGTGTTTGTTTACTCAGTTTACACAGTGAAAGTGCGTATTTTTGTCTGGTTGTTGAAATGTTCCAAAAAGGGAACCTAAAGCATAATAAAACTCACTTTTTAATGAAGAAAAAGAAAATATTTTTTTCAATTTTTTTCTTTAAATATAGGATACAGTTGTCTGTACAAAACTATTTAGAGAAGTAAATCTAACTATGGTCTGCATGAAGTAGAGTAAAAAATCTGTATATTATCTATTTTTTTTAAAAAAAAATAAGAAAAAAGTGCTTATTTCATGGTTCTCTCTAAAAAATGTTCAAAGAAAAGTATCTTTTGAAATTATTATTCTAATTACTAAAGTATTTCAGGGAGAAAATGGCTCAACCTTTAGTTGTAGAGCGGGAGGAATATGAGAAGTACGAACAGGAACTGGAATTGGTAATTTGTTTGAACTACTTTTCATTTGGATTAAGGGCAATTTTTTATCTAAAACAATTAAAATCTCCCCAAGTCCAGCATATTACAAGGGAAAGAGTGACAATTTGTGCTATGTAGATTAAAGCAAAAAATAACGTTAATGAAACCCAATTGAAACTACATAAATTGTCTTAGCTAAAAACTCCTCCCGCCACAATGTCTGAGATCGTCTGGTGGTATGGATGGTGTTTTCTACAATAAGGAACGATGCAAGCTCCATATCACCTATACTTACGGGTTACTGATTTTGGTGTATTTTGTGCCATTTGAATCACAAAGTGTTTTGAGATTCTTGCAAACGTGGTATTTGATTACTTATTACTTGTGTTCACATTTCTTACAATACTTGTACTTACGATGCTATAAGTGCTAACACTAACGTAACAGCTTGCATCAAGAACAAACAGTAATAAACAAATGGAAAGAGGCCGAATCAGGACTGACAAAAAAGGAATTTATTCAAAATCTAGGAACCATGTCACCTTTTTTAACAATATATCTATCAATAACTAAAACAAATTTTCACTTCAAACTCACCAGAATTACTTATAAACATCAATATCTTATGAAATACGGCAGATTTGAGTTCAGAAATTTTCTGATTTACTTCTATTAATGAAAACAAAATCATCCGTTTGAAAATATCGCCTCGCAGAATAAGCTGTAGTAAGTAGTTACAAAGTTTCTAACCTAAACTAGAGTAGGTATTGAGCTCGAGATTGTTATTGTTTACATTTATATTGAAAACACCATCCATGGAAACAAGAATGGCGCATTTTAGGGAGGGTAACTTCACTCTAGGACTAACACAATAGGCCGAAGAAAGATATTCCTTTCTCTTACCGGCCAGCAGAGCCAAAACCATTCCAAAACAGTGAGCCCGCACCCCTACTTGAAATATTCGTACCTCGTTACCATAGTCACTGTCACAGGTGCAGACGAATGTCTGGGGAAGTTCTTATTTCAGACAAACTACTATACGATAAACGTAAGGCCTGTTTACACGGTTCAAGTTCTTGAATCCGAGAAATTGGTAGAATTTCCCTTTCTAAGAAATTGGATGATTCGTCGACACTATCCAAGTTCTTAAATGTCACTGATTGATTCAAAGAAAACCTTGCGCATGTGCATTGTTCATATTCATTATAAAATCATACTTACATGACTTTAAAATTACTGAATAAATTGAAATAAAATCATAGTAACAGAAATAGACAGTAACAGATTAACTTATTCTCACTAAAATGTATGAAAACAAGCAACAAAATGACACAATCTGATGTCTGCTTGCTGACGTCACAAAACTTAAGAAGCTGATTGGTTAAGAGAGGAAAAACTTGGATAGAAAGTAGAACATGCTCTACTATCGTTCAAGAACTTAGACCAAGTACTTCGATGATTGTTTACACGATCCAAGCTCAAAGCAAAACAGGTTTCCATCAATAACAATTAATCTCTGTCCAAGAAATTCAATCGTCTAAACAGGCCATTAGTTTACTATCGTTTCAGTACTATAAACAAGAACCTCCTTCAGAGTCTAAAGGTCAAATGAGGGTAGAGAAGCGAAAAAACACGTGTTAAGAGGTATAACCAATAGGGACAAAGGAAAAGGTTTAAATGAAATAACGATGAATAACAATGGAGAGATAAGAAACGGATTTGATGGGATATGGCTAGAATCCCAGGATGCAACAGATTAAATTAAAATGGACTTCCTAACCGTGGAATACTCAAAAGATCAATAACTAAATAATTAAGAGTTTTTCAAAATATATAAGAACTCCAAAGATCAAGTTCGGAAGGAAGGCAGTGTTGAATGATTTTAGTAGAATTCGAACCTGTGATTCAAATTCCAACTGGATGAAGCGATGAATAGAAAATCGTTTAATATTCTTACTTATTCTTTTAAGTTTAAGGGTATGTTTAGTTTGATCAATAAACTCACGACCACATTGAAACGAAATTTGATAAGTACCCCAGTTATTAACACTGGAGAAATTTTTGTTTATTTACTGAGGAAAAAATGACTTTAAACTCAAACTTAGTCAAAATCTTAGCTATTCGGAAACTGATTTTCGGATAATAAGGTAAAGCAATCAAGCTGTTAAAGCTCTATTTGGAGAATTTGGTGAATTGCGAGATTAATTTTCATAGGTGGAATCAATAATATTAGAAGGAAAACCACGATCTACGGTGATAGCTTTAAGATAAAGCAACTCTACATAGAGGAGATAACTAATTGAACAAATTTTAAAAACACGATAAACAAGTGTGTTTAATGCAAACAACTTTTGGGTTGAAGGGGTGGGATAAAAGATCATGACGGGGAGTGAAACTGCAAATGGTTTTTGATAAACAGTAATAAGAAATTTATCTTAATTAGGAGCAAAATTTAATGAAAGTACGAGTAAAAATTTAAGATAACGAGCATATTTAGTGATTGATTTTCCCAGTAAGACCATGAAAATCCGATCATTGAAATCAAAAGTTGTTCAGGGTGTTCCTTTTTTTGAGCGCTGTACATAAATGTAAAACTAGCATCTAAAAGACCTAATTTTCAAGGTCTCCCCGGGCTCAACAATTGAGACCATATTTTTCAGTTAAAGGTTGGGCTTTGAAGATTAAAAAAACCTAATCCATTTCAGTGCAAAAAATGTCAGATCAAATTATGGGGCAGGGTAGTACTGGACTCTGAGTGCAGCATCTATAAAATCCATTTTTACTGTCAAATCTTATAACGTGATTTTTTTACGACAGTATTTAATGAAGTACAGTGATGCAGTGATTTTACGTTAAATATTTCGTTAAAATTACGGTACATCAGAATTTTTGTTCCATGAGACTCTGCGTTTAAGATGAATTTCACAGTAAAAATTGCTGACACCCAGCGTACTGGTACTTTTTCCGTAACTCGATCCGGAATTTTTTGCACTGTGAAAATAAAAGCGTGTTTGTTTACTCAGTTTACACAGTGAAAGTGCGTATTTTTGTCTGGTTGTTGAAATGTTCCAAAAAGGGAACCTAAAGCATAATAAAACTCACTTTTTAATGAAGAAAAAGAAAATATTTTTTTCAATTTTTTTCTTTAAATATAGGATANCCCGACACATTCTGTAAATAATTGGTGTTAATCGAAGTAGAGAACACCACTAGGAATTCCGTAATAGCCACACTTCATGAATATATATTTTTTGAATCCTTGTCAAAAATGAAATTTCCAAAAAAAAAAAAGTGTTTACATTAACAAACCACTGTTTATAAGCTAAACGGCTATCGAAATCTGTCGAATCCCAAGTTAAAATATCAAAATCCAGTTTAATTAACTGATGAAATTATGAGTTGTTTTTAATAATTTCCTTAGCGTCTTTGTTTTTTCTTCGTGAAAATGCTAATTTAAGAACAGTCCTGTGTATGCTTCTTCTTCTTTTCTTTTATTTCTTTTTTTTTTTTTATGACGNTATATAACCTGTAATTGTGAAACATTGTTTTTGATGTCTTTTTAACTTGTATCGAGATGCTCTCGACACATTCTGTAAATAATTGGTGTTAATCGAAGTAGAGAACACTAGGAATTCCGTAATAGCCACACTTCATGACGAAAAATATATCTTATGGAGGGGGATTATAGATAACCTGAATATTGAACCAATGTGTCAAATTTATTTTAAAAGACAACTGCTACTAACTTATGCATTATGTTTTTGTTCAATCCTATAATCTGATTGTTTCGAATATTTCAACATAATCATTATTAACATTAAAGAATCTGACCACTAACACTACTAAATTTAAAAAAAGCTGGCAACATGCCCACAAAAGCCGAATCATTAGGAAATGTTTTTCCTAATGATTCGGATATTATTAACTTCTTAGAATACATTCTAAAAAAACACTTTCCTCTCCATGAATAGAAAAATGCAAATCATTAAACTAATAGTTTGAGAAATTTTTTCTTCTCTTATTTTAATTCAACTGGGGGAATGATTTATTTTTTAACAAAATAGAAAGGAAAAATAATAATCCTATTATCGTTACATATTATTAACTTCTTAGAATACATTCTAAAAAACACTTTCCTCTCCATGAAAAAAAAATGTTTGCACATGTTATAAAAGAAGCATAAAGCTCACAGGGAATTAATGTTTCGAACGAATAACCCATATAATATACCTATTTATTCAATATCAAAATGTGATTTGCCCATTTTTATTCCATCTTTAATGACATATTTCAGGTAGCACCAAGCGAAGAAGTTGCACAAAGGGCTGTGGAACAGTGGCACGATCTTATTTTGGAAGAAATCGAAAGAGATAAAAAGTATCTGACTGAATTTGCTTATGAAAAAGTCGGCTATACAGAAGCTGTTCTCAAATGTTTACAGGAAAGAGATGCCATTGTGAAGTTAGATTTAGAAATGATTCCTAAGGTATGAAAATATTTTTAAAAAATTTTAAACACAGACATAGAAAAAAGAGGAGACATTTCTCTAAGTTATTGGAATTTTTTTCTGTATTTTCTAAAAATTTAGAATGAGGAAAATAATGTTTTAAAATGATTTTCCGAAAATCGAAAAACCTATGCGATGTTCTGCAGAATGCAGCACAAAAACTTTAATCTTCTGATACTCTGCGTGCAATGTCGGACAACATTTGATAAAATTTGATCACTTAAGAAGTAATACATTAAGGCTGGTTTTGTCTGTTACTATACAAAGCCTTTACAAAGTGATATAAAAATATAATTGGTTTTACCCTTGTTGATCGAAATTTTTAACCAGAATGAAAAATTATTAGAAAGATGAGAAATTTGATTCAAGTGCTGACTTATTTTGGACAAATCAAGATCCTTTTGGACAATTTTATAATGTTTATATTTATTATTATATGAGTTTTGTGGGTTTTGTTCCATGACCAAAATATAAAGTAATACCGTGTAAAAAAAATCTCACAATATGTGTCGAACGTTCTGAAAATTAAAATTTATTACTTTTTACGAAATAATTAAATATAATTGAGAAAATATATAATTACCATTAATTAATTGAGTTTTATAATTTATTATCAAGTTTATGATTTCAGTTTCTTCTCATTTTTTAAGTAAAGCAAATTTTTTATCCGCTGTTTAAAGCTTAGGTCGCAGAAATTTAAACTTCAAACAGTTTTCGCTTAAAATCAAAGTTTTCCTAAACAAATATCAACTCAAGAACTACTCAGTCAGTTCCCTTTTTTTTATTAAATAATTAAATTAACAGATAATTAAATTTTCTACATTGTAGAATAATGATTTTCTGATTTCTTTATCTTGTTGAGTTTTTATTAACCTTCAAATTTTTATTTTTTTTACCGGAATTGAAAAAAGGACATTTTGATGCTCATAAAAAATTAAAATAAAGACACCAATAAAATATATACTTGAGAATTTGATTATTAGTAAGCTCAATATACGTTTGGTAAGGTTTCCACTTCCACCATTGATATTGGAGGATTCGTATATTCACATACTACATTGCATCTTTTGCTGTTGTTCTACTGCTGCAAAAGGCTGAACACCAGAAAATAATGTTAAAACGGGGAGAGTCAATTTTCGGAAAAAATACATACTGGCCTACCCCTTAAACGTTCAATGTGTCTGTGAGACCTTTTGTCTCTTGGTTCGTTTTTAAAGACTACTCACTAAGGATGACCACGGATTATTTCAATTTTAGCTTATTTATTACTAAATTCTTGATTATAGAATTATTTACAAAATGATACATGAATTGGAGAATATAATATTCCGGAGCGCTGCTGCTCCCTTCTCTCTCATACTTTCTCTAGCATAGTTCAACTCAAAACTCAACTCTTCCGCGTTCAAAGCTAATCTCTCCTGCCTTCAAAACTGATCTGCTCTCTACAAAATCCTCTTTCCCATGTGAAACAGTCCTTTGCTCCACCCCCAATGTAGGGGCCGACACCTGCAGTGTCCTTCACCCTCTGACCCTCCTCAGGTCAAGGGGTCAATCAAATGCGTGGGAGAGGAATCAGGATCCTGACACCTCCCCCCCGGTTTCATCTAGTTCGACCTTCTTCCCTGGTCGTACAANATACATACTGGCCTACCCCTTAAGCGTTCAATGTGTCTCTTACTGCCTAAGATTTACGACGTCTGAAAAATCAACCAATTCCGATATATAAAGCCAAAATTGTTCGATTTAATGTTCTGTGTTCTAATTCTTAACTCTATTTGGGACAAAAGGAATTGGATCTAAAGTCAAGACTCTGGAAATTGTGGTCATCGCATACCCATCCGAAATTAGAAGATTCGCCTTATTTCTATGTTTTCAAAATTTTAAATAACTGAATAAATAGAATTCAGTCTTATGGGAAAAGACTATTACCAAGGTTTATACTACAACCAAAAATAAGTATGTTCACTATGAAACCACTGCCACATCGTGCAGAATAAATAGTACTCTTTGAAGCTCTCTCATCAAGCAAAATGAAAGATAAAGACGAAGCTAAAAAGCCTATAATATCAAAAACATCCAAGAAAAATCCTTACTTTTAAACTACATTTACAATCTTTCTGAAGAGAACAGCCTCAATTTGAAATTTGACAATTAATTGAAATATTTAAATCCAAATATTAAACGATTTTGAAGAGTCAGAGAATTTTGTTCGATTATTTCACCTAAGTTTTTTTAATTTTTTTATTTCCAATGCAGCTGGCGATACAAGCATTATCCTAACATCGTACAGAGATAAAAAGAAAAATGCAAAAGAGGTGAAATATACAAAATACAAAAACAAGAGCAAGGTATCAACACAAAAATTAAATCAAGAAAGTATCAGGAGTAGATGCAGTTCTTTGTGAGATCTGAACAGTTGAGGAGATGTTCAGCATTCATCGTCGCACCACTACGGCAGAGAGGGCAGGCAGGATTATCCACTATTTTAAAACGGAAAAGATGAGCGTATAAGCAATCGTGCTTGGTAGCAGGACGAAAGGCAGCTACAGCACTGCTTCTTGGGCGATCGGGGAGATTGAGGATGTCATTTCTCCACGATTTTTCTTTTGTCCGTTCTCTTAGCAATGATATATACAAAGAAATCTCGGCTGCAGAGCTGTTACTCATTTAGCACCGCCCAGGAGGCACGTGTAGCTTTAGGGATGCTACGAACGCGAGTAACTTTGCTTCCCTATTTCACCTCTATTTTCTCTTCTCTATTTCACCTAAGTTAAAACCGGTAAAATAAATTTAAAATTCTTTATTTTTGCATATTTTTATAAGTCTAAGCAAAGCAGAGGTGAAATATTTTTTAAAGTACTAAAAAATTAGATCATAAAAACATTTTTCAAATTCTGTAAATATGTAAAAAAAAACCAATGAAAAGAGTTTTTGCTCTATAATAAGCTGCTTAAATGACGCTGATTGAAAATCGATACAGCGTAAACTAAGTTACGCACAATTGTTGTAATTTCGCAACAGTTATTAAAATTAGAATAAAAAGTGTTTTTTTTAATGACGAAAAAGCCATTCAATAAAAGTCTTTAATCCAATAATTGGGTAGTTTTTGAAAGATCACCAAACATGTTCATTCACCAAGCGATTCATTTATTGTACTGATCTTTAATTTCAATGTTTTAAGCAAATTTTTCAAAAATTTTTAAGCAAATAAAAGTTTAAAAATTATTGTTTCAAAATTTGAAAGAAGTTTGTTAAAAACTGCGTAAGATATGAGCATTTGAAGTATTTCTTTTAAACTTCGCATGCGAAAAAAAAAATTTAAAAATTCTTTTCATATTTTTATTGTGAATCGTATTTGGTATCTAATGAAAAAGTCTGATTAGTATATCTTAAAAATTGTAAAAGTTTCAAGCAACATTTAACTAGTTTTTGTACCTTTACAAGAAAGTTAGAAACATTCAGGGATTTTCCACAAATTATATTTAGTAATATGAAACAAGATTGATTAAAAATGACAACGGCATTGTGGGAGATCATTCTTTAAAAAATGTTGTTAACTTTCAAATATTTTTTTTCCTCGTTCTACCTTATTTTGGCACACGGATAATTGCTCTAAGGTATTATGATTTCGTATTAAATTTTGTTTTATGATGCAAAATAAAATATGCGAAAACCCCTTTTATTATTTTGAGCTTTCTTCTGAAAAGTTCAAAAGTTACTCAGAAAATTGCTAGAAACTTTTTAAATTTTTAAGGCATTCAAATCAGATTTTTTTTTCATTAGTTGCCATATAAGATTCACTGCAAAAGAATAAAAAGAAATTTTTTTATTTTTCGAGCACATGCGCAGTACAAAAGAACTACTTTAGATGCTCATATCTAAAGCAGTTTTCTACGAATTTTTATTATAAATTTTTTAAAACAGTAGTTTTCTAATTATTTATAAATTTCTCTAAAAATTTTATTCAATTTTATTTAATGCTTTTGAAGTTATAACAAAAAAAATTAGGACAAAAAAGTTTATTTTTTGTAAAAATGCTCATAAATATTTAAACGAAATTCGCGAAATTTTATGCAGTTATTGAAAATAACTTCCACCAAATTAATAGATTCAAATTACAAGCTTATTGCTTGATATTTTTAGCACAGAATAAAATAGTTGTGTTCAAAAATACTTGTTTTGTTTCGTTATTTATTGTCTGTCCCTCAAACCTCTGAAAGCGCGAAACCTTATTTTTAATTATGAAAAACTGCGTGAACTAAACACCTCTGAAAATAAAAATATTTTCTTGAGAAATTTAAAAAGGTTTCAAGTACTGAAGGCGCCTCTTCCATTATTGAAGGGTTGCGTATTTTTGCTGAAAAGCTAACAAAATTTCCTTTTTTGTCATTTCAGATTGAAAAAGCAGAAAAAGATCTACGTTTGAAAAAAGAAAAAAACGATGAACAAATGAAAGCAATCAAAAGGGTCGAAGCAAACTTGAGGTATGCTAGTGAATATTATCGTGATATAAAGAATTTGTGGGAAAATTGCAAATATAAGTACCTCTCTGCTGTCCGAAGACAAGGCCTCAGAATGTATTGGGATGGAGATAGATGGCTTCCAGCATTTCCCTCTCCAAGTCAGCCGGAGCGAGTACAAATCCTTACCCCACAAGAATACGCTATGAGACACATACTGCGAACCATCGATGATGAGCCTGTTTCTATGGGATAGAATCAAGAGGATTTTCCTTTAAAAATCAATAAATAGATATTATTTGTTTACTTGCTTACTTACTGAGGCAACTTCACGCAGTTTTGACATGGATAAGGTATACAGCCAACTTTCTCATGCCCCTTTGGTTTGAGATTTGGCTTTATTCTATCCTTTAAATTTTGTTCTTTCAAAATCCGTCTCTATTTGACTCTTATTAGACATTCCTGGTTTTCTACTGTTTTTTCTTGCTGTCAAGGGCCCATGAAAATAAGAGCTAATTTTTCTTTTGGCATTCTCAGCACGTTTACTATTCTCATTCTGCCCTTCAGAGCAAATTTAAAATTCAAATTATAAAAAAGTGATTTTAGACAAACCTTGAGTAAACCATGAAACACTGAAAAGAAATTTTTATAATATCAAAATGGAAAAAAATTTTATTATGAGACGATAACTCAAGATTGCGCAATGGAGTTCTCTTCCAATAATTTGCTTGCATTTTGATATATTGAATTTCTTTTTTCTTTTCAATAAGTGAAGCTTCATGGCTTACTTTAAGGCCTGAAATTACTTTTTCTTTCTTTTAAGTTTCTAATTAATAATAGTGGTAAAAGAGAGATTGAGAGAAAAATTTCTTCCAGGGTCCTCTTAAGTGGTGAAATGCAATGCAAATCACCACTTGCGTTAAATGGAGAAAAGGAAGTGCTGAAACCTTCCACGGATTGTGAATCGGTGGCAGAAATATAACGGAATAATATTTTACAGGATTAATTAATATTTTATATGACTGTGGGAAGTATACTTCTAAGTAACTTCATTAATTTTTAAATAAACTGCTGTTTTTCTACAGAACTGAAGTAGTTTTGTAGTTTTCCCAGAGTTAACTGCACATTTTCTGTAGTGCAGTTCACTCTGGAAAATATTTATGTATTTTTAAGGCATATCTTATATTTCTGGTGTATTTTGAAGCTAATGCAAGGTAATTTATCATTAATTTATTTCGAAAAAACTTTCAGCTTTTGCCTACAAAATTACTGAAGTTTAAATGAAGTCACCCAAAAATCATAAATTTAAAAAAAAACTGATATTTTAAATCCGTGGATATGTTGCAGTAAATTTACTGTAATTAAGCAGTCATTGTTTCAGAAGTATATTTTCTGATATATCTGTAGAAAAGCTACAAATATTTTGTATTGTGGCAAAATTGAAGTCTTCTATCTTGCTTTCCTTGTTAGTAAATCTTCAACTTTTTATATATATATATTTTAAATTATACATTAATTTCTTATATTTAGGTAGAAATTCTAAACGTATATATTGAGGACGGAGATAACGTGCACTGTCTATATTCATTAAAAAGAAAATTCTAAAATGCATGTTTGATTTAATTGTAATTACTTTATAGTTGAGAATCGTCGAAAACTTTTCAGCTAGATTTTAACCCAATTTAATTATTTTAAAATATGCCTAAAATTAGGTTTTTAATAAGTCTGTATTTTAATAATTTTATTACTAATTTTGTTTATTAGGTTTTTTTAGCCTTTGTTGTTTATTTATTTATTTTTGACTTAATAAAACTGCTTTTGCGCGAAGTTTATAGTAAAAACAATATTATAGTAAAGGTAAGTAGTTAAGATTAATTAGTTAACTTTAATTTCGAATTCAAATTCGAATTGGATTATTGCGGAACAAAAATTATACTTATCATTTTGTCTAATAGAAATAAATTTTCAGTTTGAATTTTAAACAAATTTATATCTAAAGAGTTTACAGAATTTCATTCCAGATTTTTTTTAGCTTCAAACCAAATTTATTAATTTCAATCTGTTTCTGAAATTTGTCTTAAGTAAAATTTAGAAAATTTAAAACAATATCCCTTTTATTGCTTGAAAATAAAGCTTTTTAAACTAAACAAATAATTTTATTTGAAAAAAAAATCATTATATTTTCAATTGAATCTAAATTTTCATAAGATTTATAGAATTGCTTACTTTAAAAATTCGTTTAGAGCTCCTTGCTTTTAAAAATAAATCTTAAGAGAAAAATAACAAAACTGGGGGAGCAAATCCACATTGGTAGAAATTTATGGTATAAAATAATAATTCCTTTAATTGCTATTTTATCAAAACAATAAGATTACCATAAATTGACGTTATTTTAACTGTTAACTCTGAGAAAAATGCTTATCAACTGTTTTTTCGCTTAATTAGACAAACAATAACTTTATCCACGCCAACTAGATCCACCTCATGAAAACATTTAGTTCTTTGCCTCAGTAATGGCAGGGCCTGATAATCGCCTTGGCCCGATAGGCATGGGCCTAAGGCCCACAATTTCTGAGGGGCCTAAAAAATTAGTAAAAAGTATAAGTATGTAAGGTAAGTCAGCTTTGAGTTGGTTTAAGTACTAAATAAAAAACTAGGAGGCTTCGCCCCCTGCTCGCTCGCGCTCGCCAACCCCCGGAACTGCTTTCGCAGTTTATTTCGGATTGCTTCGCAATCCGATGCTCGCTTTGCTCGCATATTGGATACGTTCTTAACGTCTAGCTTTTGTATACTTTTTTGAACACTGAAGTTCCGAAAACTTTTCACTGTAGAAAATTCTAAACCTGTGCATTTAAATATTAATTTGAAATTACAAACAGTTCACATATTTTTCTTAATCACACTATTCTAAATTTCAGTTGTTGAGAAAAGTAACTGTTGTAAGTTTTGTTTTAAAGTCTTTCCCACCAGAGGGCTAAAACCATGTGTTGTAAAACAATATGAAATAGTACTGAACGCCGGATGTAAAGCATCGGCTTCGATGAAGATAATTTTGTGAGAATTTTTTTGATAATTCGGTGAGAATTCACCCGATTAGACATATGATGCTCACTACGTGCTCTTGCGCGCCGAAGCCTATCAATTAAAACGTATTAGCGTTTTATATAACATGGATTAGCCATATGATGCTCACTACGTGCTCTTGCGCGCCGAATCCAATCAATTAAAAATGAAAACTGTTGCCAGCGCGAGAAAAGAAATATCGGTTTTATTGATACATACGTACGTATTAGCGTTTTATATAATATAGATACTTACAGCTTACAATAAAAAATAATTCAGCTAATCAGTGACTTTTAGCAGAAAACACTGATTTCAATTGTTTGTGGTCATCAAACTATTTTTATTTTGGCATAACATTGTTTTGTTGTTTTATATTTTGCTTTAATTTATACATACGTAAATTTTATCTTAGAAATTATCTTCAACTGTCTGTTTTCAAAATTTCTTACAATGTTTGTCTTGAATCATGCAGTTCAATAGATTTTTTTACTGTTACTACTCTTCAGTAATTTAATTTCAAAATATTTTGTAAGGGGCCCAGAAAATGTGGTGGGCCATGGGCCTGAATTTGTCTTGATCGGTCCCTGAGTAATGGTACAGAGCTGTAGCTGATAGGACTAATTGGTCAATCTCACTCCCGACAGTTCGGTAATTCGAAACTAAGGATTCAATGTCTGCACTTTCTCACAACGTATAAATCCTCCGAGAGCTATACTTCCAGATTGATGCATCTGATCAAGAAAATAGGTCATGTTTTCTTTTCTTTTCTTTTTTAAGTAAAAAGTGTAGTATTTCATATCCCTCACTATAGATGGCACCCCAAATACTCTGATATTTCTGCATAATTACTGTAAAAATTTTGTGGTTGGTTCTAGTACAAAATTCTGTAGCGGAATTGGCCAAATCACCATCACCATAGTCTCCAAAGTACTTTTTTTTAACAGATTTTCTTCAATTTATTTTTAACTGGAGATGGGGCTTGAGGGTCTATCTGTTGATGACTTCAAACAAATAGGGGGGATAAAAATGAATGTCTTTGCTTTGCTTGCAAAAACTATGGAAAGAAAGAAAGTAACATTACAAACTTATATTTTTGAGATATTTTTAAAGAAATTCATAATTTTAAATTTTTTAATGGATAGACGTCTTTTGTATGACCCGTATTAGCTCGCTTAATTAAATTATAGAATAAGTTCAGAGTTAAGTTACGCTAAATGATTCCGTAACAGACTTGGTGGTTATAAGCCAGCTTGGACGCCAACTCAATAATAATTTCTATCAAGCACCTTTTTGAGAATGTTTATAAATCCAGTATTGCGACATACAAAAACGATACTAGTCGTGAACAGAACGGAAAAATAATAAACAGAACGGAATAAAAAACGGAGCACCCTGAAAAAAATTATGATTTAATGATTGGATTTTAAAGTACTAGGACTTAGTTTTACTGATTCAAAGAATTGACCTCAAGTATGCTAATTATTTAGAGCACATGATATTTTAAATTACAAAATCAGACACCAAAACGTATTTTCTCTGAGTAAATATTTTGGACGGATTCTGATTCCGGGCTTTCAAAATATGAAGGATAGTCACAATTAAGAAAATATGGTCCCAATAGGTCAATCAAGAGAACAGTCAAAAATTTTGTCAACCTCATATTAGTTTTACTTTTTTGGGCTATATTTTGAAAATTCCTTAAGCGAATCGAAAAATTGTCGTACACAATCACAAAATGCGTTTAACCAAATGTATCTCCATGCAAATTGTAAATTTTAATAATTTTTTTATTAGTTTTTAATATTTTATTAAATAATTATAGAAAAGTTTTAAATTGTAAGGTATGCATTTTTTTATATAGTGTTAAGGAATGTAATTTTTCATATCAAATTACAACATTTTGAGCTTAATTGATAGAATAGTTTCTGTGTTATTAAATTTTAGAAAAGTAAACTATTCGAATAATTTCATTCAAATTTTATGCAAAATTTGTTTTATAAAATACTTCCTCAAAAATATTTAAAACGTTGTGTTTTCTTACAATTCAAAATGCTTTCGACCAAATACGATCGCAACGCTTGAATACGCCCAGAAGACAGGTTCCATTCCTTTGGCCCTTAACCATTCCCTTCTTAGTAGCAAAATAAGAAGGAAAATTTCCCAAAGGAAAGGCTGAAGACCCAGTGCATTGGTAAATCTTTCAGTAACAGAACGGGCTCAACATTTCAAGAAATTTCTCAATAATTTTTACCTTTCTATTTTATCAACAAACTTGCTTCCGATAACTTCCATACTGTTACAGAAGTGTGTAATACGGTAAATTCCATTTTTTTCCCTTCAATTCATTACTAATTAAAGTGAAAACAACATTGCGTGCTTCATTCCAATGAACAAATGCAATTTCAGAACATGCAGAACTGTAATAGTTATAGAATAGTATATATATCTGAACCTATATAATTCGAAAAACAGCAATAAAGAATCATCTGAATTACTTGAAATAATATCATTTATGTTGATTATTAATAAATTTTTATAGTTTTCTTGGTAAGTATTTTTTAATTTTGAATGATAAATTTCAACCAGAATTCATCTACACTGTTTTTCAGTTACATATTGAAATTCATATCGAGATCTTGCAATTATAAAATTTTATTGTGTGGTACGTAATCGTAAAATAATGAATGGATAATCTATGTATGTATTATTTGAGAACAAAGTTGGCAAATGAAGAACATATCATTTTGGAAGAACATGTCTGGATTTATATAGCAGGTGAGTGTTACAATTTTCATAATAAAAAATTTTACTTGTAAATAATTTTTTTTCTTTTTTGATGATAATTTCCTATAAAATGGTTTTCTACGTCCGATTATGAAAAAAAAAAAAAGACGAAAAGAAACATGAAGGTTTTTTTTAATGTGAGGAATTTTTAGAATCGTTTCTTTGCTTCGTAAGCATTCTTTATTTTGCTTTTTTTTAATTTCTAAATAATGAATTTTACAGAAACTTAAAATTTTTTGATAAAAATTGTTGTCAAAATTTTTTTTTGCAAAATTAAATTATGTAAATTTATGAAGCTTATGTATACTTTTTGCTTATTTTAATGGTTGAAGTAATATGATTCTTAAAACTATGGAATGTAAAGTTTAAATAAGCCTTTCATGTTATATCATTAAATTTAGTAAAACTATTTCTCAGGCATTAGATTTTAACTCTAATAAGAAGATACCTTTTTTTTTTTGTTTATTTACAAATATTTTACCGATGTGTTTTGGATGTTCCTTCTCTAAAAAGAAAAGATATACCATTTTCTTTTCGTTTGCATAAGAAATAATATCAAACATTTTTCTTTTTTAAATTTAATAAGCTACAATAAAGAAAGAACGTTACAATGCTACATTAAAGACGTCTCCAGAGTAACTGAATGACTGTTCATATGGAAATCTCAGGTATTCGTTTCATACAACAACGCCCCCTATAGTTCGCTGCAATAGCGAATTGAGGAATGTTTTGCGGGTCACCAATATACACCAATCACAATTTTTAATTTTTTTATTAGTATTTTTGCACTAATCACATTACACCAATCTCATTCGTCAATCATATGCAGTGAGAATGGCCCTTATAGGGAGGGGGGAACAGTTCAGCATAAGACTCTTTTTTTGACGTCATCAATAACGTGTTCACTAACAGCCTCTAATTTATAGTGACGTCAGCTGAAACACTAGCATTAGTTCTTGAAAGTAAAGCTTAAGCGTTTTACTCATGTTGTTCAGTTTGATGAAAACAAAACTGTTGAAGTTACTGTATTAGTCAATTTCCTTCATGGATCCTTATATGAAAAAATATCAATATATATATTGCTTTGCTTTTATAATTGTTCTTTGACTAGTATTTTTGTTTTTATCCTTTTAAAAACTTACTGTTTAGTTGATTATTTAAGCTCTCAGAGGATTGTCTAGATAAATGGTATATTTTTCATTAGGCTTTTTTGCTTGTTTAGTTTTTATGTGTAGAAAATCCTTAAAAGGGTGAATTATTAAATATGATTGTATTCTGAGATAATGGCTGGACTTCAGATATTTAGAGGATATTTAAATTAATATTTTTGCTTAGCTGTTTAAAATTCGCAAAATGCTGCATTTTGAAATTGTATTAATTGTTGAAATAATCTTTTTTATATGTAAGAAATATTCTTAATTGGAAGCGAATCGTTCTCTAAAGATGTCTCAGGATCTAATTTCGCTTTGTTCTGCTATCCTGAAAGAATATTTTGGGGAAATAGTTCAAACTGTTGGAACTTTTTTGATGAAGCAAGTTGCTCCCTGCTCACTTTTTGCGATTGTTAGAAATGTTCGTTTACCTTTAGAAAAAGTAAGTTTATCTCCACTTATTTTAATTCTTTTACTTGTAATTGGAACATTACTTGTTATCAACATAATAAAAGCAAAATTCTAAATTACTATGATTCTCTATTTAAGAAATTGTCTTATTTTTTTAAAAAAACCTGGCGAAATATTTTAGCAGATCTATTTTGAAAAGTCTGAATTATCGTTAAAATTATTTTAGTTATACCAATTGACCTATAGTATTCTGGAAAGATTTTTGTTTAGAATTGATATTGTTAGGCAGAGTAAACGCATAAATTGTGTATCTTTCCTTGTCTCTTTGGATATTAGGGAAGTTGATAATGCTTAGTGGCCTAGAATCTAGTAATATTTCCAGGTTTCTAGAATTGTTATAAAATAGCTTTTACAGATGATTTACTTCTTATTGTCCTGTAAAAATTTTCAGGATGCCTATATTTTGTTGCAGAATATTTTTAATTATGTTTTTAATTGGTCAAAATTATGTAAGCTAGTGTTCAATCCACTTAAAATTAAAGTCACGAAGATTCATAAAAAAATCAACTATTGATCAAAGAATTAGCAAAAATATTGGAGGTGTGCCAATTGAATCAGATGAAGTATTTTTGCATAATTATTGATCACAATCTGCAGTTGAAAGAGCATGTTTCTTATGTTTTCAGTAAAGTGTAAGAGTTTTAGGAGGATTGATAAGAATTTCAAATAATACATATGGGGTGAATCTGATGTTCTGCAGTTGATTTAAAAACAGAGAATTGTTCTTCTCATATCTTATTCATCAAGTTCTTGGGTTTATTTCTTAAGACAGAAAATAAATTGTAGACTTCTTAGAAGAACAAGACAAAGATTTCAGCTTCAGGTCATTAAAGGGTACAGATCTATTGTTATGAATCAGTGTATATTATTTCTGGTTTACCACTTATTGACTTAGTTACTTTGAACAATCTTGAATTTAAGGATAATTATTTGAGTATTTGCCTTCCGGTAGCATGTTTGTTCTACACTTCATGTAGGAAACCCATCACGTTTAATACTTATGCTAGCAAAGTCTTTCTTGAATATAGAACCTTTTGTTTAGCAGGTGAAAGTAAATTGGATGAAAGAGTTGAACTTGCCTGTGTTATTTATGAAGACGGAGTTGAAAAAAACATACTTTCTACATCGATTAAGAGACTGATGCTCTGTTTTTCCAGCTGAACTGTTGTGCATAAACTTTGTGACTCTCCAGATTTACGACAATATTTTCTTAATAACTCATTTCTACATGTTTTTTCAAATTCCGAAATTTTTTACAGTGTTACGCAAATTTCATATTTAAATTATCACTTTTGATGTACTTAATTCGCAATGATTCATTTGTAATTTAGCATCTTTTTTTTGGCAGCTATTAATTGTTTTTTCACCTATTTTCCCATCACCTTTCAAATTCCAAAATTTTTGTACTTGTTTAATTAATCACTCTTTTCCGTCAAGGATTCACATCATTTTTGATCATTTTTCAGCAGTTGTATATACTCTTTGTCAACTATTACAATTCTTTATCATGTTATTGATCTTTTCTGACCAAGTCTTTAAAATTTTGATATTTTAAATGCACTATTATTACCACACACAGAATTTTCAAAACGCGAAAAATCTATTATTATTTCATAACTTTTTAAAGTTACCAAAATGAATTTCTATGTCAAACTGCTGAAATTTTCATGGTTACAGCTGAAAAGTTTGTCTAAAGAATGGTGTCTCTATATATCTATCTATTGACATAACACTATAATATCAATAATTAGCAAGGATGCAATAAATATAGTACAATGTTCCTGCTTATGAATTTTATTTAAATTAGTTTTAATATTAATAAAATGAAGATTAAAGTACATTTTTTATTTGAATTGTATAATTTCAAATATTACCATATTTAACAAATAATAGAGTTAGCTTATTCTAATTTTTCTGTTGCTTAGTTATATTTTTTACTTTAGTTTCAATCATCCCTTTTAAAATTCATAAAAATGTTCGATGTATGTGCAAGCTAAATGATATAGTTCTTGTTCCTGTTGTCAAATATTCGGACACACCAATTGTATTTTGTGAAATTAAACATTTTAAATAAAGGAAACATTTTTTAAATGATATAGTTGCTTTATTCTCATTTTTGTATTATTTAGTTGTATATTAATATTTCAGGTTCAGTCCTCTCTCTTAAACCTCATACAAATGAACTTTTGTGAGTTTAAGCTAAATGATATGGGTCTTGCTCCTATTGTTGAATACTCGGTTTCTCCGTACAAAGTTTTGTCTGTCTTACATTATGAGCGATACGCTTATTGTGCTCAACTTCTGTAAGTAACAGATTGTAGTTGTATTATTCAAAATAATTCAAATAATATTTTATGTATTTATATATTGATGTTATTTTTTTCAACTTTTGAGTTCTATATTTGTTTTACCTGTACATGACATTAATTAAAATTTTGTGTTTCAAGGTAGGATTTTTTTATTTTCTCTCTAGCAAAAAATATTTTGTGGTTTTGCTGTGAGTAACTTGTTTACACATAGAAACTGAATAATAAGTGATAACTGGTTAATAACTTGTAATAAGTGACAAAAGCTGCCAAAAAGTTTTTTTTTCCTTAAAAAAATGGCTATTTATATATTTATAATTAATTTTGTCATTTAATGTTTTTTGACTTATCAATTGATTAAACTATTTGCTATATTTGAAAAATTTAAAAATACATAAACAGTAATGGCTATTAGTAAATTCATATGTAAATATATTTCAGAAATAGGAAAAAGTTCATAAATCACTTTCTATTTAAAGTTTGAACAAAATAAGATATTTTTTAAAGAAATATAATCTTTCTATAAATATTTAATAGATGGGGAAAAAAAAATTTATGTGTAACATAAAAAGACTATTGTAACTGTGTATTTTAGTTTCATTGCCTCACCAGAAAAAAAATTATGCAACTGCATTAAAACTGCCCATTACAGTTATAATAGTGTGTGACTTATGATAAGAAACTCAAGTTAGCTTGTGGCTAGTCAATTGCATTTGTTCATAAAAGTTGGATGTGACCGGCCAACAATGTCTTATTAAAATATCTTTAAAACACAAATAACAGTAACAATAAGCTCTGACTATGAAATGTGTATTTTTTATAAAAACATGTATCTCAAAATTCTGAAACTAATGTGAGAGCAAGTGTTTATCTACACAAATATTTCTAATTTAGTAAGTAACTATTGGTATTTGTATCTTAGCTGAATACTAGCCATTATGAAGAATGCATCTGTGTCTTTTTCATTTAAATGTTTTCTATCCTTATGAGGAATTGAATATTTTCTAAAAAAAATGAATGTTTGTCTCTTAATCATTTGTCATCCATCTTAGTGTTTTATTAACAGTCATATTTTTTCAAAAATCAACTTAAATTTATAAAGATCAATTTTATAAAGGATGTTAATAACAGGTTCAATATAATTAACTAAGTGAAGCAGTTACTATCCTTAATTCGTACTGCAAGCCCTCTGGAATGATCATTCCAGATAGGATGATGTCATTGAAAAACGATTCTGCATGGAATTCATTACCAGTTTCATTCCAGCTGTTCCCTGCTTCCCAGAATTTCTTTTTCTATACAGAATCAAGGATGTTTGTTTACAAGTTTTCAACGTGACTTTGGGGATAAACATTTAATCACTAGTTCATGGCTATTCTATTCAGAATTTTGTTTTATATCCAATGTTCTTTTAATATAAATGCTGATTTTAATTTTTGTAGAATTATTTAGCCTTATCAAATTAAATATTTATCTTTAATTATTTTTGAGATTTATTAACATGTTTTCTCTGTTTTTGTGATAAAAATGTATCATTCCCAGGAATTAATTTTCAAAGTTTTAAAATTTTTCCCTCTACTTGAAACTTGTGAAAATATAATAGCAAATTATGTAAGGAAAATATAAGTCACAACAAATGAATTAAATTATATGTTATTAACTGTGAAAAAAAGTTATTCTTGAGTGTAATAAAATCTCTAAAAATGATTCATTCCTAAGTTATTTAAACTTGCATGGATAACATAAAATTAAAATTTTTTACCATGAGTTGTCCAATAGACTTCCTTTAAAATAGTCAAAAAATTTAAATATTAATAAAAACAAAAGTAAAGTTATACTTTCATGTAGAAAGCTTTTATTTTTAAATATTTGTTTAAGTCCTTTGAAATGTTTACTCAGCTGCCATAGCCATAGTAAAAGAATGACTTTTTTTTTTTACATCATATAATGCAGAAATTGTCAGAGAGAGAATTTAAAGCTTATTTTGCTTTCGATGTGATTTGACAGTTAAAAAGAATCACATTATTAGATTTTTGGCTTTATTAAGTGTATATTATAATTAAGTGATCGATATAAAAAGTAGTTGTTTTAACTACCTAATTGATTGAAGAATTGAAACATTGCAATTTTATTTAATATTCAAAGGGATACAATTTAAAAATTATGTTATGCAAATGCTGTAATAAGCAAATATTATACAAACAATTTTCTTCATTGATTTCAAAGTATTAGAAATTTTTAAAAATGAAAAAGCTGAAAACCAATTTTCAGCATTGAAAAATAAACTATCACCACACGTTTTAGATTATCTGATTTTTAACCGTGCCCTCACATCCAGAAAGTTGTTGAAACCAGAAAACAACCAATTACTTAGTCACACTCATGGTAAGGTTTTAAGCATCATTTGGTATCAGAGATTTCTAATTTAACTTCCCAACTGGAATTCCATCCTCCATCCCTGAAAGCTGATTGTAAGGGTTCAATATGTTAATACTATGCTTTAATTTTGGAGTGGGGGTGTTTTCTGGCATTCATCTGATTGATAAGTACCTTATAGTAAATTCATCATGATTTATCTAAGATACATTTTAAACAATTAATATTACAGTTATGGTGACCCAGCTGATTTATTAGTTGAAGAAATTCTAAATCATGGTCACTTGACAATGAGTGAGGCGATTCGAAAAGTTATTGAAAGACTACAAGAAGCTAAAGATGCCACTGGTGTTGGTATGTGTTAATTTTTATTTTAACTAAATTTTAATTTTTATTTTAAATAAATTTTTTAATTTAATTTCCTCTTAATCATTGCCATACACCTCTTAATCATTGCCATATAATAAATGGGAATAAAATTTTATTACCAATATATATCTTTTATATATTTCTGATAAATCGTTCTAATTTTTCTTATCTTCTTTCTAATAATCTATTTAATTTTTAGTGCAATCAGCTTGGTTCAATAAATTTTTACACCAATCAAAATACCAAATCGTTCAGGGAAAAAAATAGCTGCATTTTAATAGAATATTTAAAGGTCTAGTTTCACAATAGATATGAACTTAAGGGGAAAAACTTGAAACTGTATGAAAAATTGCTCTTTCAATTGATACTCAATTTAATTGAAAGAGTACACTGTCTAAACTTCTGCAAAATTAACTTTTTCATTTTAACAACCTCTTAAATCTTATGGTGTATAATTAGTAGAATAAGTTTAGCTTATTTCCTTTCTTAAATACGAAATTTTGGAACAGTTTCAGCGAGTAATAGAAAGTAGTTCAGCTATCAATTTAAATAAGTTAAGTCATCTTTTTAGAAAAACATTTTCTAATGTTCTGAATCTATTCTCCTTAATCCAATTTTGTTTTTATAAAATTATAAATGATTGAATTTTCTACAATACAGTCAAAGTTATCTTTTTAAAATTTCTATTTTTAAGTTAGGTTCAGATTTATTTTATGAACTTCAAAATTTTAACTTTTATTCTAAAAAGAGGAAGAAAAGGTTTGTAGACTATAAAAAATGTAAAAATTAAAGCATACATTGAAAAAAAAACATTGTTGATAATTCAATTACCTATAATGTAGTGAAAATAAAGTAAAAGCAAATAAATAGGTTTAATGGAATTGATGGATGAAGGTTTAAAAATATGGTTTTCTATACAACTAAATTGTAGATTCATAAGCAACACTGCATGTTACTCAAATCTGTATTGTTCACAATTACTTCTCCAAAAGTTTTAATTTCAGAGAAATCATTTTTACAAATGTTTTATCTATTACAATACTCTATTAGAAATTTCAAAAAGGGCAAAGAAATATTATTCAGAGAAAAGCTTTAAAGTCATAGTGTGTCCCACCTCTCAATTAAAATAATTTAAATATTTTTTTTATTAAAACTAATTCTAGTATGTATCAATTTCTGTAACCAATATACAGTAGAGTCTCGAAAGTTCGAGTCTCAGAAGTCCAAGGTTCCGCTTAATTCGAGGTGCCAAATTTTCCCCCTAGCAACCAAAAGCGCTCTTCCCATTTCCTCTCGCAACCGAAAGAATGCAGGTGTTATTTTTTGTTTCTTCCTGGAAAGAATTTCAGTAACCCACCACCTTTTGTTCTCTTTGTTTTGGAAGGTGGCTAGGTCGGAGTTGGTTTGAAAGGAATTTTCAAACCAGATCTGCAAGAGTTTTATTCTTCCAAGTTCAATTGTACTAGTAACTTAAATGCTAGTTAGGGACTCAATACACGTGCTTGATCCTTATCATTTTGGAAACTTATTGCTGTTGAAAGTGTTACATTAAGGTGCCTGCTGCGAAAATGAGTGGAAAAAATAAGAGAAAATTTGTATCTAATTGAACGCTATAAAAAGATTAGATGCAGGTGAAACAATAAAAAGTGTTGCTACCGTTTTGGGTGTTGGAGAGGTAACAGTTGGTGACTGGCGCTGCAATCGAATAAAAATTGAGCAGTTTTGTTCACAGAAGACTACAGGAGAAAAAAGAAAATCTATGAGAACATCAGACTATGAAAAAACTAGCAAGGCTTTATTTCTTTGGTTTACTCAACAGCGTAGCAAAGGTACTCCTATAAGTGGCTCTATTCTTCAGGAAAAAGCTGTGTTTTTCAGAAATCAATTCAAAGAAGGAGAAGAAGATTTCGCAGCAAGCGTTGGTTGGTTAGACCGTTAGAAAAAACGATATGGTGTACGTCAAGTAAATATTTGCGGTGAAATACTCTTGGCAGATACGTCAGCTGTGCAGGCATTTCAAAAACGGATTGAAGACATTATATTGACGGAAAAGCTCACACCTGACCAGTTATATAACTGTGACGAAACAGGTTTGAACTTTAAGATGTTGCCCTCAAAATCCCTTGCTTCAAAAGAGGAAAATTCAGCACCAGGTCACAAAAAAGGGAAGGAACGATTAACCATTTTAGCATGCGCCAATGCATCTGGAAATCATAAAATGGAACTGACTGTGATTGGGAAATCTGCCAAACCTAGAGCCTTAAAAAACATCACTAAAGAACATCACTATTACACAAATCAGAAAAGTGCATGGATGAATCGAGAAATTTTCAAACAATAGTTTCTAGAACATTTTGTTCCAGAAACACGAAAGGCATTGAGAAAAACAAATTTGCCTTGCAAAGCAATTTTGTTTTTAGATAACGCTCCATCTCATCCGGACGATGATGAGCTACGCTGTGGTGAAATCCGTGCTATATTTTTTCCTGCCAATGTTACAAGTTTGATTCAGCCAATGGATCAGGGCGTATTGGAAAATTTAAAGAAAAAATATCGACACCGTTTGTTACAACATTTAGTTCAGTCTGATGGTGAGAGTGTTGCGGATGTTTTGAGGAATGTAAGTCTGAGAGATGTTGTCTACTGGATAGCGGATTCTTGGGCAGAAGTTCAACCTACGACAGTAATTAAATCGTGGACTAAGTTTCTACCTGAATTGGTTACGCCTATTGAGAAAATTAATGATGATGATAGTGAACAATTGTTTTGAATTGTTGGTGAAGGAATTACCAGGCTGCGAAAACTCTAATGCAGTTGATCTAAATGAATGACTAAATAGTGACGACAAGCTGGAAATAACAGACTCAAGTATTATAGAAATGATGGAAGATGAGGAAGAATATGAAACAGAAGAAAACGACTCATCGGAAAAAAAATATCTCATAGTGAAGTTACGCAGCCTAAGAACTAGCCTTAAAATATGTAGAACAGCAAACTGAAGCCACCCCTGCTGATGTTTTGCTTTTGAAGCGTTGACTGACTATCGCATCAACAAAGAGAAGTAATATACTGAAGCAACAAAAAATTGACAATTTTTTTAAATTGTAAAGAATCTTTTACGTCATTATACTAAAGAATAAAGGATTTTAAGGTAATATGTTCATTTTATTTAATTTCATTTGTAGTTGTTAAAAATTTTCTACTTTTTCGGAAAATCCGAGTTTTTAGTAATCCGAGGTAGTGTCAGCCCCAATTACCTCGGATTTTCGAGACTCTACTGTAATTTCTTTCTACCCATACTAATAATATTAAATAAAAAATTACTATAAAAAATAAATTTTGTATTTTTCTTAGGAAAAAAAATTAAGCAGTTATTTACTATTCATAAGTTTCAAAATCATTTGCAAATGAATATTATTGCTCTATTAGTGGTGAAAATATTGTTAATTGAACTTTAATTTCTTACTTATTATTCGTCTGAGTAAATTTCTGATAAATTTTGTTTACTAAGGATTAAATTTTGTTTACTAAGGATTAACCAATTGCTCTGTCAAAACAGTTAATTAACGTATCGCTTACACTGCTAGTGATTGTAATTTCAGTCCTGACAACCAGCATGTATTTGCGGCTGAGTGCACATTAAATCTGTCGTGACTGAAAGTTGTATCAGCTCAGGTACTGTTCATGTCATCTGACCTGTGATCTGACTAAATAATGTGGCATTCCAACCATTTCTGCTAAAAGATAAATACCTAGAAAATGGGGCTAGGTACCTGACCAAGATTAGGTGATTTGTGTCTTTATACCTAAATTATAGAATTTGAATGCTTATTATACGAAACCTTTGCTTATACTAATACATATTTCTGAAAAAATTAAAATTTAATATGTTCTTAATAAAATTAGCTTTTAATCAACAAGTTTTAAAACTATATGCAAATCAATATTGTCCTTGGTTGGAATTGTGTTGTAAATATTGTCAATGAATCTTTAATTTTCAGATTATTCTTCTGAAAAAATTTGTGATAAATTCCGTTTACTAATAACCAATCAATACCTGATTCGATGTCCTTATGCGGAAACTGTAGACTTTGAACGAGTACCTAACCTTTGTTTAGCTGATAAAGACAAGTTTGTTGTACCTGAGGTATTTATTTGTTTACATATTTTCAAATTCTTTTTATACTTATTGCTTTCCTTTTACTTTCTTGATTGTTATAGTTCTTCTTTTATTACAGCCTGATTATCCTAATATATATATATGTATATAAAGTGAAATTATTGTAATAAATAATAATCTTAAAGCTGTAAGTAATTTTCTGAAAATTATTTTAATTTTTAGTTAATATTTTATTTTGTTCTTTCAATTTTTTTTAACTATTTTTATTAGGGACTTTAAAATCAAAAATTGAATTTATTAAGGTCTTACCAAAATTATATTAATTTTATGTTAAATGAAAGTTCCCATTGCATCTACTTTTTCAATCTTAAGTAGTTGTATGACCTATAGAATAATGATGCAAGCCAATTTTTCTACTATTGCATCCAAGTTGGATAAAACGCTTTCCATTAGCATTTCCATTCTATTAAATATACTACTTTGCTCTCTTTTATTCTAATTTTATTGGATTAAAGTAAATCATGTAATTTTATTGAAAAAATGTTTTAAATATTGCTTAAAATGTGACTTCTTTTATTTAGATCAAATTACATTTGCTGGAAACAAATAGTTGTGAAGAACCAGAAAATAAAAAGCAGAAAATTGAATATCCTGATGCAGGCATAAATTGGAAGATTAATTTTGATAGATTCAAAGAATATTTTAGGTATATTCATTTTTTTATAAGATTTTATTATTTCTTTATTAATTATTATTTTAATAATGGGTGACTTTCACGAATAAGATGGTATTTTTGTTATCTAATTCTAATTATTAAAAAATTGGTTTGTAATTAAGCTGATAAAAATACTTCTATTAACAAAAAATATATATGTATATTTAGAGTTGACCCCAATAATTTTACAACTGTTGTGAAGTATATTTGTTTTGAAAGATGTTATTTTGTTTGTAATATGATTATAATTACAAAATATGTAAAATGAGTGTATAAAATTTATTTATCTTTATGAACCACATACTATGTTATTTTTAGATAACTTTAAATCTAAAAATAATGAAAACTGATTTAAGTATTAGTGGCTACCTTAAATATCAATCATAGTCTCATCAGCCAAGAACCTGTAAAGTAAAGTACAAAAATAATTTGTTTTACTTAAATCTTTCTAAATTATACATAAAAATAAATAAATAAACTTTGATTCAATATTGGTTGCAAATAATTTAAATTGTACAGAATTTAATTTAAAGAGTTCTATGTAGCCAGTAAAAAAACTTTTTACTAACTACATAAACTCAAATGCTATTAAATTTATTAAGCTTTAGATTTATCTATTTTCAGTGCTCAAATTAAAAAAACAAAAACTAAATAATTTTATTATCACTCACTTTTAATGGTTCGAAGGCCTAATCTGAAATGTACTAACTAATTTGGGCAGACAATAATTTGAGTTTGAAAATCAAGCACAAAAACAAACCTTCTCTGAATAAACATACCTTTTTTTGATGGTTTTAAAAATTTTGACCCTCAAAATATGTATGTAAATAGTTTAGTCAGGAGAGTAGTCAAAAGCTTAGTATTTATTTTACTTTTTACATATTTTGCTATATTTCAGGTAGTTTTTAAGCAAATTGAAATAATTGCATTCATTTATGAAAAATGTTTATCTGAAGATAAGTCCATGTATAAACTATTTTTTGATTATTTTCATTATTTTATTAATTAAAGGCGAAAGGGTTTTGCATTGTAAAGCTTAAATTTTTTACTCAATTTTAAATTATATAATTTTTCTTGATAACATGCAAAAGTTAAACAAGATTGGTTGAATAGTTTTTTGGAAATAAAAGTTTAAAAATATGGATTTCTACAAACTTTACTACTATTTAGAAATTATTTGACCAATTTCGCTCCAATTTTGTATTTTATCATTTAAATTTACGTAACTTAAAATAATTTAAAAATTTGTTTCACTTTTAAGTCAAACAGTTTTGGACCATTGTTTAAAAAAATAAAGAAATTTTTAATTAAATAAACAAAACAAAAATTATACATAATTATCTTTGAATATTTGGTATCTGAATATGTTTCATTTCTGTTCATGCATGACAAAAGCTTTATTAAAAATATAGCATTGCATCGTATATCTAAAATTGGCTTTATGTTTTTAATTTCTACCCATCATAATAAGGTATTTAAAATTTTAATCTTGTGCTATTTTTTTAGCAGATGTAATTGTTGCTCAGTATTTAATTTAAAAAAATAACTTTTTTTCTTTGAAATTGATCCAAAATTGTAAATAAATTTGCTAGGTTGTTTTTAAAATGATAATTGAGCAATATCATTTATTTTTACAGTCTGAGTAAAAACATTGCTATAATAACACAACAAACCGGATTTGTAATTTTATATTTTTGAGAAAAAAGTAATATGGTTAAAATTGATATTTCAGCTCTGAGTTAAAACTTTAAGGACAGCACAGAAACACCATAAAAGAATACAAAAATTTAGAAGCTTGTGTAGGAACCATTTTCAGAAGTACTTCAATTAATCTCGTTTTCATGGATGAAACTTGTTTTTGTCTGTTTTACATAATTTTTCTTTTATTAAAGATTTCAACTGTATTGATGATATATGATATCTCCTATTTATATAAATTCTTCGTTTTAAATTACCCCTGAGTTCTCGGTTGGGTCAAGATCTAGAGACTTAGCTGGCAATTTCAAAGTTTCAACATTGGTGGCTTGAATCAATTTCTTGTACTGTTACTTAAATGAATAGTTGCATTATCTAGCTGATGTATCCAATTTTTTTCCACATAAAATTCTGCATTTGGTCAAATATGACTTGCCAGGACATTTTGATAAACTTTTGCTTGAAACAAATGCAATTGAACTGTAAGCAAAATTTTTTCAGGTCATCACAGAACATCTCCTAATGGGGTGATAAGAGAATGTTTCTCTCTCTCTCTCTTATCTTTTTTTCTTAAATCATGCCAACAGTACATCATCCATCTGGTCCATCCAAATTCTTTTTTTTTTTTCATCAGAAAAAATTATTGGTATCCATTGATTGTCCTAGGTCATGACTTGCTGACTGAAATTTGAACACACTATTTTGTATCTCTGCATCAACAGAGACTTAGCCAATTTTGATGTATACATGAACAATCCTGACCCTCTAATTGTGCTATGCATAATTTTTTTGACTAACATTTAAATGTGTCGCTTGAATAAGTTTCCTGATTTTAGTATTTTCTAGTAGATGTAAGTCTGCAAACTCTTCTTTTATATAATGATCTTCACCCAGTATTTTTTATTTTTGAAATTTTCTTTCAACTTTAAGAAATTGTTGGCTACATCCTTTGATCTTCCTATCTTTATCGCAATAATACAGCTACTCATACCTGTTGAAGAAGAAGCTTCAATTTGTTCTCTTTTATGATTAGTTAAGGTCTTAGCGTTCACCATCTACACAAAGAGTGCCAAAACTTCGAATAAAGCTTTGGCAAATTTGCAAATAGAGCTGTTTTTGTCATCTCTGTAGTTGTCAAGTTATTTAAAATAGTATATGTAATATTTATTTTTAAAAATTTTCAATTTTTACCTTACAAATTTTTACTCATACTGAAATACTAATTTTGAGCATACTACTTTTTTTATATCACTTTTCTTAAATGTTTTCACAGTCCTTATAGATTTTATTTAGACTGTATAAACAATAGCTTATTTTGAAATCTCCTCTCATTCTAATTTACAATAAGCACTTTAAAAAATATCATAATTAGGCAGGGTAGGAAAGTTTTTGACAATAAACGGTTTTATCTTGTTTTAACCGTCATGTCAACAAAAAAAGAACAAAACAAAGAAAACTTTTGGCATTGTTTTTGACAATTGTCAAAAATCATGAAATTTTGAATCATGTAAAACGAATGTTTTCATGTGCTACGGACTGACAATACGCCAAAATAGATTGGGCTTGAATTAATTGTGAAAATGTTGAATAGAACAATATGAATTGTGTGTCTTTTCGCATAATTTGAAGCGAAAATCAACATAGTAATGGAGAAGCTCATTTCGAAAAAGGAAAAATTAAGCACTTTTTAAAAACACCCTATGAAAAAAGCACCTTTAAGGGCTTTTAAGAAACGAAAATCGAAAATAAGCACCTTTAAGCAATTTTTAAAAACGCTACGCAACCTGTTACAGTGTCTTGTTTTTATCTATGAATTGCTTTTACTTATTATTTGTATCATGATGAGTGTAATGTATATTTAAAATTTTCATTATTACATTATTTTATTCATTATAGGAATGAAGCCATAATTACTGCATGTGCAAATGTTCATGGAGAAAAGGCATCTGAAATAATAAAGGCTATTTTATTATTATCAGATCAAAAATATAATGCCTTATCTGCTACTAGTGGTGCTGTGCAATATTATGATATTTTAAAATTGTTGGAATCTTCATCTTTTACTTCTAAAGTAGGTAGTTTTGCTGTATTTTAATTGATTAAAAACAGTTTTATTAATTATAATACGTTAGTGTAATTTAGTGAATATAATCTGTGTATTTCCATGTTGTCATCGATATCTTTTATTGTTCCTAAATTATATTATTAATAAAGGCATTTAATTCACTTTCATGTGGCCCAAAAAAATCTGCAATTCTAAAAAATTTTGAAGAAAACTTCGGAATAATGAATTTTTTCCGAAAGATAGAAAGTTGAAATTTTTTTTTTCATCAAAAGTTTTTTTCTTTTTTAGAATAGGAAAGAAATCATCAGTTATTTTAGGTCCGTAATATATATTAATAATTTTTTAAGCTTATGTAGTCTTACATCTGTTTTAGTTAATGTTATTTGTGCCCACTGCCAGTTTTTTTTTCTTTAACTGATTACTTTTACGAAATTATGGAAGGTTGGCTTCTATCTTTTTTTTATTTAAATATCTTGAAAAGAAGTTTTTTTCTTTTTTTATGTATTTTATAATTTTTATTAAACTAATATTTTAACTCAATCATCTTAACTTAAATTCAATCCTCTATTTTTTAGGTGCATTTGAAAGTCAATTATAATTTTTTATTAATATAGTAAATCACACACCGACTTTTTTAAATTAAATATTATCTCTCTTAACAACATCTACTTAAACAAAATGACAAGATATAAGTGCAAATGAAATGTTGAAATGATTCAAACACATCTTAAAAATTTTATTTCTGTTACAATTTAGAGAATAACTAAGTAAAAGTGTTTTTAGTTTCTTAATACTTTTGTCTTTTAAAACTCAGATTGTAATCATGTGAAGCTACTTTCTTTTGTAAAAATTGACAGTTTCACAGAAACCTCCCATAGAAAAGAAACATTGCCCTTCTAACAACTGTCTATAGGTTCATTCACACAAATTAAAAGAAAATAATTGAGGTTAGAAAACGGTGTTTGATCATTTCAAAAATTATTATAAGCCACTTAAGTTTGAATTCATCTACTCATCAGTTCTTTTTACTACATCATCAGAAGTTCTCATCCTACAGAAAGTTCATATCAGAAAGTACTGTTTACTCTTTACGGCTAAAAAATTTGAAGTCCTTCAAAAGAAGTTTAACAATTAAATGTTCAAGTCTTTTTCAAATTATTGTTTGCCTCAGTTCAGAATTTAAGCCATTATTTTTTAATAGTTGGAAATAGTACTGAAAGTAGTTTTTAATTTTCTATATCTTAACATATGTTCAGTTCTACAACAAAAAAGTTTGCCAAATTAGGTTTTTGTCTAGATTTTTTGTATTTTTCAATTTGTTAGGTCTTTTGCCCTACCCTGACATTTAAAATGTTGGTTATTTTATGAAGCCTAATAGAATTAAATATTTTTAGGAGACTAAAGAAGCAATTTTTAAGTTTATATCTTTGTTTTATTTTAAATGTAAACTATTATCTTTGTTACTAAAATTTGTTTATCACAGGATTTAGATGCTTACCTTTCAATCGTTTGTGAAGATGAATACGGTTTTGTATCGAAAGCAGATGAACGTGGAAATGGGATGTATGTTGTAAATATTTCAAAAATTTTGAAAAAGTTAGTGGAATCAATTATCACATCTGTAGTACAAGATAGATTTGGTTCTAAATGTGCCCGAATATTTAGGTAAGGGTTAAATCAGAAACTAAAATTCTTTTTGTTTAAACTATTCCAAGTTTTTTTTAACCATTACATAGGAAAGTATAGTATAAAGAATGTTTCACTTTCAGTCTTTCTTCATAATTCGAAATTTTCATTGTTTCAGACTTTCATTCAAAAGTTATTTTTATAGTATTTATGATAGTTAGGATGCATAGTTTATCATTGTAAGTAAATAAGAAAACATTTTTTATTTAGTGCTTAAAAAAGTTAGGATTGATATTGTTGTTATTTTTTGTAATAGTAGTAGTAGCAGTACTTTATGTACGACACACTAGATCTGCACAATGGGCTATTGGTGATGATCTGAAATCTGTTATGCCATCACAATTTTAATTCTCCACTGCTGGAATGGTTTCTTCACTTTAGTAAGCCAAAGACCTGCACTCATAAAATGTGTAGAAAAAAAAACTATTTAGTTTAATTTGAATGGCAAAAAAAAAATTATGGTGGTGAAGTTAAAATTTAAGTTGTTAACTAACAAAAATAATTTTAAAAACAAAAAATTACCAAAATCTAATTTTCTTTACCTGATAGGAATTAAAAGAAGGAAAAAAATATTGTGTAATGTTGGAAAGCATGAATTTTTAAGTTTTTCTTCCAAATTGTAAAAACTATATGTAAATTTTGACGATCATTGATCTACTTTAAGCTATATTTCATTGTGTAGTTTAAAAAAGTAATAATTTTTTTAGATCTCGTTATTTGTAAAAATCTGTTTATAAAAAATTAAATAAAACTAGTTCAATTTGTGTGTTATATGTAAAAACTTTTTTTTCTTCAGGATATTGCTAGACAAGAAAGTTTTAGAACCAAAACGCATTGAAGAATTAGCTATGTTACCTCCAAAAGATACAAAGGATTATATTGCTAAAATGTTTGAAGAAAGTTTTATTTTATCCCAAGTAAGTGAATCGTTGATAGAAAAGAATACTTTATTTAAAGTTTATTTTAATTGAAAGTTTGGTTTAGTAGATAGTCTTCTCAGGAGGAAAATTTTCTACACCTTTTTAAAAACTGTTTCAATTTAAAACACTAAATTTTAAATGTCTAGTGAAAAAATTAAACTATATAAATGGTATATATAGTCATAAATATTTTAAAACACCGAAGTGAATAGATTCTGACATTCAATATTTGTTTAGATTTTCATCATCATAGTTGGCCAGACAGCCCAATGTGAGCCGATGCCTTCTTAAGATTTCTCCATAACGACTTTTGATTTGTAATCCCATATGATTAGATACACAACATTACCTAAAAAATGTAAAATCCTTGATGAAAAAAATATTTTTTTAAGTAAAAACAAAGACATTTTAAGCTGTTAACCAACTGATAGTTCTGCACATAAAATGTCATATTTTAACCTGCAGTCTTCCTCGCATACCAAAACCGATTTTTTCATGTTATTAGATAGAAAAATAGTGTATAGGAAAAAAACATTCGGACAGTTTTACCCTTTCTGCAAAACCACCAGCTGGTTAATATATTTTAATAATTTTAGATATTTTATTTTTCTCAAATTTTATCAATGGGAAATAAACATTTTGTGAAGAAATGAATGCAGATTGTTGAATATTTTATAAAAGAGTTTTAAAATTCCAGCGACTAAACTGAAACAATTTACTTGTTTTATCACTACATTAATTTTGCAGTAAAAAAAAATAGATACCTATATTTGTTTCTCACACCCAAAGAATTATATTAATTTATTTCATTGAGAAATGTTAAAATTTCAGCAACTGAGTTTCTTGAACTATTTGCTTATTATTTTTAAAGTGGAAAAAAACGTGCATATATATAGACATTACATATATTTTTTAAGCCAAAAGATTTAACTAAGCAATAGTTAAAATATCCATTTTTGAGAATTAAAAGGGATCCTGATGCAATGAAATAAGTACAATATTCATATTTTAATTTTACAGGATATCCTGTAGATGTTGCCTCAAACTTCTAGGCAAGGTAGGGCACATCATAGATATCAATAATTGCATAGCAACCTATGACTAGAAATGTCATCTTACTTCGCTAGTGGCACTTTCCTATTATAGACATGCTGTTCATATGCCTTTGAACCTGCACTTTTATTTATCTAAAATATCTTAAATTTTATGTTTGCTATTAATTATTGTCTAAAATTGTATTCAAATAGGTTCAGTATTAACTGGTTTATCATATTTTAATGATTTGGCGAGCTTGTCCATTCTGTCTCTAAATCATTAATTCATGATAAAACAGACTGAACTATTATAATACAATTTTGGCAACAATTATTAAACATAAAATTAAGATAATATAAATAAAAGTACATATTCAAAACTCATGAAGAAACAGTTCATAATAGGGAAGTGCTCCAGGTGGTGTTCAGTAATTTCTCATGGAGTCCTATTCAATTCTTAATCCTTATGATGTGCCCCTAAAAGTTTGTTACACTCTGTTTATGTATTTCCCATTAAAACAGATTGCAATTCTTGAAATTTCTCTGTGTCGTTTAACTGAAAAATTTCATTTCGAGCCATTTGTGTATTTTATTGTTACAATTTGCTGATTTTTTTGATGATAAATTAAACCTAAAAGCGCATCATAGATGAAATAAATTTGATCTTGAATGAATATATTTTACTCACCATAAAAAAAAAATGTATCTTTCTTCTGAAAAATTTTAGTAACATTTTGTAAAGGCATCTGAAGATGCAACTTTTGATATTTTAAATAGTTCTTCTCATTTATTTTATGCACTGAAGAGAAAACTAATATTTTGAGAGATACTTACAAATATTTCTTTCCAGGAAGTTTCCAAAGGTTCTGACATCCTTTACGGAGTGACCTTCTATCTTCTTTCAATAGACATTGTTCAAGTAATAATCGTTTATTAACTTATAAAATTTATTATTTTCTCCTTGGTTTAACTTTTCTTTTAACTTCCAAAAGCAGTATTTATGTAATCATTATTTTAGTTTTAACTCAGCATTTAGTCTCTTTAGACACTATTATTGGTCCTGTGATAATGGGTAAACAATTCATTGAAATTAATTACTACTTAAGACTATTTATAGTTGAACAGTATTAGTACCTATTTCAAGTATGAAGACATATATTTGAATGTCACACTTTATCTAAGAATGGCAAATTAATTGTTCTTTTTTTTTTGTATTATTGCTTAAAAATTGAAAAGGTGCAATTATTGCATTTTGTTGTGGTCAATAATGCATTCAAAGGTCTTCTAAAGAAAAAAGCAAAGTTTGGTTTTATAATTAAATAGTTTTTGTGTATAAATTTATGACAGAATTTTCGTATCTAGTTTTATTTATACCCCTAACTGAGTTAAAAATCCTGTTGGGGAAAAACTTTCGATTTTATATTACTCCAAGATTTATGTTCATCAATTAATCAACAACAGTGAAATGGTTAAATTATAGTATTTCTGATTGTAATAGCTAAAATTCTTTGGAGGAATCACCTTCTAATTTAGGTTGTGTTGCTCTAAGTTAGATGATGTGCACATAAATTAATCATTAACAGTGAAATTGTTAAATTATAGCAGTTTTGTGATATTAAAAATCCTGTGGGAAAAACTTCCCATTTAATGTTTTGTTACTCCAAGCTTGGTGATGTGTACATAAATTAATCTACAACAGTGACAAGGTTACATTATAGTATTTCTGATTATAATAATCAAAATCCTGTGGGGGGATATCTATTTTATATTATTCTACTTTAAGCTTGATAATGTGAACATATACTAATCAATAACTGTGAAATGGTTAAATTATAGTATTTTTGATGGTAATAATAATTTAAAGACATTGCATTATACAAAAAATTAAAGTAGAAAATAATACAAGAAAAGTTTGCTTAGGTAAAATATGCTATAAAATCTGATTATTTTGTTTCATTGATAAAAAAATATTCTTAACGCTTATCATTTACACTCCCAATTAGAGTTCTCATAAAAACATAATTGTGATATGTAGCAAATTTTATATTGATTATACCAGACACATTTTATTTTATAACAAAATATTGTTTGGAATTATTTTCAGGTATGCCGTATGGTGTTAGAGAGATGTTATAAATCAGTTTTTAACCTTATATCCTGTAATGAAATACAGTATCAAGAAAATAAAAGGCTGCTAGAGAAAAATCAAAGGATTGATGCAATTGTGGCTTCCTTGAAACAGAGTGGAGCTGAAGAAGAGCAAATTGTTGAGGTAAGCAAAATTATTACGTAACATTTTGGAACTGAAGAGCTTGGTAGAAAAAATTTACTTAACATTTTAGAACTGAAGACCTTGGTGGAAAAAATTTACTTAACATTTTGGAACTGAAGAGCTTGGTGGAAAAAGTAACATTTTTTAAAAAAATATAGGATTACTTTCAAAATGATTTTGTCTGGGTATTACAATCTAAGTGGATGAAGATTAAATGAGTGTTAGGGATTGATAAATTTCATAGATTTGAAGTTGTAGACTAGAAATAAATGCAAGACATTAATTTTGCCTAGATATCTTATTGTCAGTGTATAAAGTTTAAAGCTGATTGACTCAAATAGCAACTTATATCCACAAAGCTCTCTAGTTGCATACGCTAGCCAAACCTAATTTTTAAAATTGCAGATAATCACTGCAAAATCTCAGAAGAAATCACTTGAAATATAGAAGATTTTATGAGATTCAAACCATAGTGTAAATTTATAGTAATTAAGGGTCAGAGTTCCCAAAAAATGACAAAAATATTTTTAAAAAATTTATTGCTTATAATAAAACTTCAAACTATTTCAAATGTACAGAAAAAAAAGCATTTCTCTATCTACATTTTAAAAAAAAGTTATGAATGATTTAAGATTGCTCTAATACAGAAATTTGCTCAGCAGACTAACACTTTTTCGCACAGCAAGTGCTTTTTCTCATAGATGATAATTTTGCGTTTTAATCTTAATTAAATCCCTAAGGAATTATTTCTATTTAAAATAAAGCTTTGAAGTAAAACTTTTTTATCTTAAGTATAATACACTTATTTAAACGGTACATGGAATAAGCATTTTATGAGGTATTACAATTTTTACAGCATGTTATATATAACTAACAGGAATTTTTAGCCTTTTTTTTTTTTACTTTTTTACAAAATAATTTATAAAAAATATTCTAATTGATTTATCAACAAATAAATGCACAAAATCGATAAGATGAATATTGTAAGCACTAAGAAAAAAAATTTAAAAATATGTCAAAATAAAAAAGCCTTGTGAATTTAAAAATTTAAAATTTTTTTTTTAAATTTTAAAAAAGTTAAACAGTTTAATTATTTTTTGAAGATAAATTATTGATTATAAGTTAAATGAGCATGCAAAGCATCCACAAAATGAATGATTATACCTTTATTTAAAAAAAGTGTTGTGTGACCCCTTAAGAGCTTAAATCATGAAATACTTACAATTTTTTCATCATATAATTTTATTTTAATACAAAGCATTTGACTATATAGAGATCAAACTATTTTCTTAATTACCTCTTACAAAAAACAAAAAGTTTCTAAAACTGAAAAACATGAACTTTTGAAAAATCGTTTCCTTTAGAAATCATGTTCTTTTCTCATTTTTACTTATTATTTGTCAAGAAAATATGACTTAATGAGGCCAATTTTTGATCAACATTAGACAATTTTGATGTCATCAACGAGTGGGTAAATTGAATCGAGCAGGGCGTCACACGTAAAATACTAATACGAATAATAATTTGTTTAATATTCACGTTCTTATTCTCAATAAAATACGTATAAAAAATTTTTGTTAAATTTATGATACTACATGGTGCATAGTGTTTTTAAAAAGTGCTTATTTTCGATTTTTATTTTTTAAAAGCCTTAAAGGTGGTTTTTTCATTGGGTGTTTTTAAAAAGTGCTAAATTTTCCTTTTCGAAAATGAGATTATTATTCTTTACCATGTTGATTTTCGCCAGGTATTATGCAAAAGCATGCTTTTTACATTGTTCTATCCAACTTTTTCACAATTCATTCAACAACAATCCATTTTGGCGTACCGTCAAGACGGAGCCCATAGCTTATAAAAGTGCCAATCATTACTTGCGAGTCCGCATGTCCGCCTACTGAGCTGGGTTTGGTGAGATTATTGCACTCTCTTGTGCAACTTTGTTGCATTTTGCAAGATATTCTTAATTTCAAGTTTCATTTTCTACCTTCTGATATAAAACTGGAAAATCTCTTGATTTTTTAATGGCTAATATAATCAAGAAAAAGAGTCCTGTGTCAGAAACTAGTCATTTTATCATGATCATGTAAAGTTTTTGAAAATTATTTTGCATTTTGCCAATTCATATAGTGCTTAAAAATATTTTTGAGTGCTTAAAAGGTGCTTATTTTTTGTTGAAAGATTTGGCTACTCACCCTGTACTAGAGTATTTTTACCAGACTAAATTACCAGAGTACACTTAAATTATCTATTTCGTATAACATTATAGACTATGTTATTGAAAACATTGAAATCAAAACTATTTTACATTTTCTCTAAAAAAATTTAAACTCAGCAAACTTATTGTCATTTATAACCGGAATATTGAAATTAGAATGTACCTAATACATTACAACATTTTGGAGAAAATTTAATTAAATAAAAGAGAATTAAATTGGTAAAACCTAGATCACCTGATAGAAAAAAATTTTAACTACACATGTATGGTTATAAAATAAGGCATTATATGTTAGCTAATTTATTTAATGTGGTATTTGTATTATTTATAGAATTATTTCCAAGCTTAATTTTTTTCTTCATACTCTGATCATTCATTCGGAAGTTTTGTTTTCATTTAGCTAAACCAAAGTTCATGGAAAAAAAAATTACATTTTTATTGCAACTTTCATTATTAGTAGTGTTTTAATCCATTTCCATCAGGATTAAATCTGATTATTTTTAGTTTAAGTTAACTATGTTATGTTTTTCAAATTAAATTGTGTTAAATTTCTGAATATCCTACATTTGAAATGCAATTAATCATGCAAAAATGCATTTATCTAATTGGTAATTATTTTTCATGCAATTTAACTTAATGCTATTCTTCAATTATAACAACACAAATTTTAGGTTTTTAATCATCTTTACGATTTTCCAGGAAGTCGTAAACGTAATACATTTGATTTTTATGTTAACCTATCCACGTGGCAAACTAAATATGTAAAAACATCCACATCATTTGTATTTATTCTATGAATAAACAATTGTTGCAGATTTTCATTTGTTAATAAATTTGTATATATCACAAAATTAAAACTACTCCTTGCTAAATTTTTTATTTTACAAATTTAATTTATTATTTTCTTTGAAATTATCTTAACCATTTCAAACAATTAGTTGTGTTTAAGTGAAAGTATTAAAATATATTTTAAACAAATTGTATAGATGAATATTGTAGAACTGTTTATTTTTATTAGGTACAGAATATAATATCCGAGCCAGAAAGAATACTTATTACAAAAGTAGAAAATGTAACTAAGAAAATTCATTCCAGTCAAATCCAAATAGCTGAAATGATTTCAATATTAACTATGTGGTTAGAATACAATTCATTTAAATAAAAGATGTATTTTAAGAGTTTGTAGTATTTATTTTATGACATCTTAAGGCTGTTTGGTTCACCTAATTTTAAGTTGGAAAAATTTGCTTTTATAAATAAAAGGCATGATAAAAGTAGATTTAGAAGCTTGTACAACTCACAAACTATATCCGTTCGATAACTTATTACTCAGTAAATTATTTTTTTTAACTTGAGATTTTTTTGATTTTTGTGCTAACAAAAAATTGTATGAATGATTTTTTAAAAGAGTGATTTTTTCAATTTTTGATAGTAATGGGAACAAATTAGGTTGTTAAATATTATGCGGAAAGCTAAATTTAACATATTTCTGATAGAAAATGTGCATATAAAGTTGCTTGACTTAATGCTTTTAAATTTTAGAATATTTTGGTTTGAAGAGAGAAACAATGATCTTATTCAGCATAGCTTCCCAATCTGTTCCCTTTGATTTTTTTTTTTCTTTTCTTTAATTTATTGTCAAAATTTTATCATGCCCTCCTAAATTGGCTAGCCCAAGTACAATTGCTCTTAGTTTAGCTAACATATATTTTTAATAAAACTTTAAATCCTTATTGGGAAAAAAATTTTTCAAGTGTCTTATAAAAATCTAATGGAATCTTTGAACTTTAAAAAAAAAACTTCTAATAAGGCTCAATTGCTGTTTTAATTTTTAATCATATTTTATTAATGTGCTCCATTTTCTTTGGATTTCAAAGCTAAAAATATATAAAAATATTTTTTTTAGCCCCAAGTACACACATATACCAGGTTAGGAAAGACTGAAATATAGGACAAACTGTGACAATTTATAGTTTGTTTTCCAAGGGTAATTATGAACATGCATAATTTCTGAAATAGAATACATAAAGGTACACCTTTACACTATTTTTCAGGGGCAGTTTTTTATTATTTATTTGGGTTTCAATATAAAACTATTATTCAAAGATATTCTTTTAGTTTTTCATACTCATACCTGTTATAAAAGATGCATCAGAAAAACATACATGCATTGATATGAAATATATATACCATAGGCCATTTCTTTTAAAAAGTAATCTTTTCGTGATGGACATTAATATTGCTTTTAAATGCTGTAAAAGAATTCTGTCCAGAACTATAAAGTAATATTTTGGCTGGTAACTGAACAGTTTTACCAACCAGGTTCAGTTATTGCTCTTAAAAAAGGTTTGGAAAATGCAATTTATTATGGCACTGAACTATCATTGTAAAAACTGAGGTGTTCGATCCCCAGTGGTGGCTTGAAGCCTACTCAACTTCAGATCGATAGATAACAGCCTGTCTAGGAAGTAAAGGCGGCCTGTGCGCAGTGCTAATCACAATCATGCTATTGGTTTCTTAAATTGCGAAGCTTTAACCTTTATGACACCCAGCAGACTGTTACAAGAATGCTTTACTTTACTAAAATACAATTTAAACTAACTCAGGTTAAAGTTTGTATTTTAATAATTCATATTAGTTAAGCCCCAGGTAGCAGAATTTAGAGTCAATGTGCAGTACTATTTTCAAAAATTAAAATTTGTCTATGACTTCAATGCAGTCAGAAATTATAATTAAAAGTATAAATTAAGCCTTATCTTACAAACACATGTACAAATATTTATAAAAAGTTATACACAAAAACTTTATGATGTTTAAATTTTATACAATCATACTTTTAGCTTCACCTAAAAATAGATGCATTTTTGCTAAAGCCCAATAAAGAAATCAGTAAGAAAGGATAACCTTGCATATGACAGAAATAAAATATCATTCAAAGGAAGATATTAAAAACATTGTAGTTTATAATGTTCTGATTTGCGTTTTAAGTTTCTGCAAATAAAATTTATTACCAGTACTTTGCAGACAAATAAAATGAAAAATGAACATTGTTTTGTTTTTTTTTCATATTAAATTTTAAGAAGAAAAACTACTCATATTAGAAAATAGAAAAATCTGAAGTGTAAAATAATCTTCAGATACTGTGATAATCTGCAATGCCTTCTACCGTGCTGCAAGGTTTCTGCTTTTAAAGTTAAGCCTAATGTATGCACTTTGAACTGCTAAAAATAATTTTGTTTACTTGTATATGAAAAAACTACTCAAAAGAAAAGGTATAATCTACAATTTTTATTAAACATTTCACAGTGACATTTTATACAGTGCTATATACAAATGGAAGTTAATTACTTTTGTAAGGTGAGCACATCAAATTTACAACAGCTCTGAGATGATTTCATCAGTCAGGCTGTATACAAAAGTGAAGCATGGGAAATGCTATAAAATGTGATGTCTAATAAGAGAGTGGACTAAGCACATCTGTTAATCAACTGAAAATTCAAAATGTAATTTTTAAAGTCAATTTCAATTTTTTAATTCATTTTTTTTTCTTTTAAAGTTCTATAAATACAAAGGGAACTTTTCATCTCGCAGAGAAAATATATATATATAATTTTAGAAATTTTTGTATATTATTGAAAGTAGCAATTAGAAGTTTCAATCCATTCTATGGTATTTAATTGAACTCTACATTAATGTCATTAATAGTTTAAAATTATTCTAAGACAGCAGGGTTCAGGAAGAAAATAAATATGAAACCCTGCTCTTTTTTTAAAAAAAATAACAGCTTGAGACCAGGGGGATGTTACTAATTCACAACACATGGTAGAAATTGGATAATTAAATCCATATAAAGAGCTAAACTTCTTACTTAAACACAGAACACTGACATGTTTCTATGGTCTCCAGCATATGCTCTCAGACTAGATGGATATAATTTTTTTTTCTTCTTTTAACCAGTACATTAAAATATAAATACCAAAGCTTTAAAATGATAGACTTCAAAAAATATTACAAATGTATTACAAAATTCTTTTGCAATCTCCTCTTGAGATTCGGATAGAAACTACACACATCAGGCAGCAAACAGTTACAATCAAAACATTGCATACACTCTTCTCTCACACAGTCTTATAATCTTAATAACTTATACATTCACAAATTAAGTTTTAAATACCTTCGGTTGCCGTTGCACCTCGTTCTAAAAGCGTAATGCAACTACATCAAGTCGCCAGAGGGAAGCAAAAACAGCAGACCATGTTTTCCCTATCAAAGATTGCAGACATTTTTTCTCACCATGTGTTGTACCACTCTTCATCACTTTCAAGACCAATTAATTAATCTCGCATATTTGCACATGATCCATGGCAGCAGAAGGGTGTTTTGTGTTAGCGTTTCCTTAATAAAAAGTTTCAGTAAATACTAGAGTGCAGTATGAGTGAAGGAGCTAGCACTGTTACTATGAGCCAAACTGAGCATGCTACCACTGATGCTGAGGTCATCGGCAGGTAAAGGTTCCTGAGAGGCTTCGGCGATAGCCATGGCATCAAATCCCAATCTAGCACTTTCTTCATCGAATGCTTCAATCTCTCGAGCTTGGCGTTCTAATAGTAACCTTTGTCTTTCAGCTCGTTCCTCCTGAAATTGCTGTTTTTCTAACTCCATCTAAAAAGACATGGCTAATTTAATTCAAATCCTATGTAAGTTTATGTGATAGTAGGTATACCAGATAAATTACATTCTTCCAAACAAAGTAAAAATTCTGCTGAATTATAACTTATAATTAGAATTTTTTATTCTTAAAAAAAATATAAAATGATAGTACAAGGAAATAAAAAAAAAATTTATATCAATTTAAAAATTATTTTACTTTGCTTTTTATATAGATAAGAAATCTTTAATCTACTAAGATAACCACTATATTCATTTTTTAAAACTCTTTTCAACACAGAAATTTTCAAACTCATCTTTAGAACTAAAGAGAAACCCTTAAGAAAAAGAACTGTTCCATAAGGGTTAAATAAACCTTTATACTTACTACAGACAAAACCACTAAGTAACCATAATGGACTATGTTTTGAAAAAATTAACCCATGTTAGGTATGTTACAATTCAGTTTTTAAAAATAAAAAAAAAATAAAAACTTTTTTTTGTTCTTTAAATTATTTTTTACTGTAAAATGTACACAGAGTATTCTAAGGAATATAAATTTAAAAAAAGATAGATATCTTTATTTTTGTCTAATACCTTTTTGATACTTCTTATTTTAAAAACAGTTTAAATGATTTAATGTTTAATTATTTTAAATGCTTAACAGTTTTTTTTTGTTTGTTTTGTTTTGTTAAAGGCTTATATTTTTAAATTTGTAGACATCCATATAAAAAAATAATTAACGTAACTTAGTAAATCTGTACGACTAACAGCCTATAAATTTTTTTTTAGCTTAGTGTTATGTTTATTTTATTAAGATAGAAATATAAAAAATAATTCATTTTCCATTTCATAAGTAGCAATGTTCCTCAAAATGGTGCCAAAAAAATTAGCAAGCAGTTTAACTAAATTAAAATCTATTTGTATAAAATTTTGCTAAGGAGCTTCCTGAAAACTGTAGAATTAATTTGTTGTTAACTAACTCTTAAATGGTTTCTGCCTTCTACTCTCCATGCTTTCCAACAGCACATACCAATTCTCACCAAATTATTCAACAAAAAAACATTAGGAAGAGATTGAACATTATAAGAGCTCATTTGTAGGAATACTTAAGAATTATGAATGTCTCTAAGACTGATAATCAAAATGGTGATGGAAAGTGACAAATCGTTAGGCAAATGAAAAATTTGAAACAGCTAATGGAATATGTATACTATAAATTCCAGTGAGTATATGAGGACAAAGATAAGAATAACGAAAAAAAAAAAATAAAGTAAATCATATCTTTATCAGAGAGATTTCATTGAACAAAAATAATGGAAGATTAGTAAAACCAAATATATATATATATAT